TTATAAAAGCCAATCCATTCATTTTTTATTTCCCTAAGAGACAGTGCGGCCATTTCAGCCAGGCTCCCCAGAGCCCTGGTCCTCACAGAGAGACAGATGTTGGTGCTAATGCAACAAGACAGACATTAATATACACACATCTGAAGCGGTTGCTGGAGCCTGAGCAAGCAACCGTTACATAGAAATGGGGGGTCCAGGCAGAGAGGGAGAACTTGCCCTAAGCCTATTAGTACTATTAGTGATACTTGGTGGTAATGATTGAAAGCCACTTAGTGCTGGTGTATTTACCAAGGGGATCAGCCACAGCATGGTTAAACAGGCCCGATGGATTAACTCAGTCCAATACTGAGACGTGCACACTAACCAGGGATGGAGGGAAGAGAAGAAATTACAGAGTAAATTGTCTCTGTAGAATAGCCTCTGATTTCCTCTGCTGCATTCCAACATTAACAAGAGGCAAACTGATTGGGAGTGTCAACAAGCGACATTTCATATATAAACCTATGTCAGCTTTAAATGTGTGCATTATATTATTCTCAGAGCAGAACTTATATTGTTTTTTTAATTATCATTATTAGAATTGACAGCCATATTTCAAAATCACATCAGAGGACTGTTTCTTCCTCCTATAACTATGCAAGGTTGTTGACCTACATTTAGTAATTTATAGATAGGCTAATAATATGTTGTCAGCCATCATTAGTCTTCTCTTTCATCAAAACCATAGGATCAACAGGATCAGAGCTTTGGATGCTACAGTACATGGTAAATATACAGAGATATTTCCATAGCTTAGAGGTCTGTAAACTGATGCGTAACAACTGTTTTATTATTAATTTTAAAAAATAGTCCAATTTTGTGTTCGCATCATGAATCTAATATGTAGAGTGTATGAGCAAAGATATGATCTGAAATATTGGTAATATCCTGAAATATGTGGCATAACTTAATGTATTGCAGGGTTTTTTGGCTGCATAACAATTAAATTACAAAGGCTTCTGAAAGTATTTGATTTCTGCTAAAGAATTAAATTAATAATGACTAATGATAAAACCTTTCTTTTATAAAGCACCTTCCAAAACAAAGTTACTAAGTGCTTTACAATAAAAACAACAACAAAGCTAAAAAGGCATGTGCAAGGCATAAAATAGGGAAAAAACAGAGTAAAAAGTAATACCTTCTGTTAAGAGAAGGCCAAATGATAAAAGTGCATTTTAAGAGGACGTCACTGAGATTGTCTGCCTCCGTCTACCTGTTCGGTCATCATATCCACAAGCAGTAATGGAAAGTAACTAAATAGATTTACCCTGCACCTAAATACAAATTTGAGGTACTCGAGACTTTTTATTCCATGCCACTTTATGAATCAACTCCATTCACATTTCAGAGGGAAATAGTATTATAAATATTAGAATAGAATATAAAATATATCTTTATTGTCCACCATGGGTGGAAATTTGTCTTCAGCTCACCAAACACAAAACACAACATTGTAAAAGCAGACAAATAGTTCGTAAAACAAACAAAACAGATTCATTAGAGAAATACTTCACACATTAAGTCAGCTCTGTGTCAGTGTCAGTTTCAGCCAATGGGTCTGTTTGCTATAAAAGACCAACTAAGGCCATGTCATCAGCATATTTAAACAATCTAAAATATTCCTCGTTGGTCATAAATTCATTAGTAAACAGAGAGAATAGCACAGTCCATATATAAAATGCAGCTTACATATGAATCCATTACTAATAATAATCAAATTATATAATATTGAAAAAAAAAATCAATCACAAGGGGGCGTGTATCCTCCATAATTAGTACTTTTACTTTTAATAATCACTACTTAACTACTTTGACTTTATTTTGAATGCAGGACTTATTTAGTATTTGTAAACTGTGGTAAATATCGTTGCAAGCTTTAAAAGCACAAGTTGGGTTATCCAAAATATAGTAACATTGATTATACCAATTTGTATCCTATGTATAAAGTTACAACTGGGCAAAATTATATATCTTACATGACACATACAAAGACAGAGATGTATAGCCCACAGGCCTCACATACAGGATCTCCACCCTTACTGTGCAGTATGGTGAATAATTTCAGCCTGTTAGGCTACAGCATTTAATATGACAAGCACTTGTAGGATTGCAGTGTAACGGAAATTAAATTTAATACAGAGCTGGGAAGGCAGCCAGACGTTATCTGGTACCTTGCCATCCATTTCCATGACAGACATCAAGGGCATTATGGATCACTGACCAGCAGTCTCCTGTCTGAGGCACAAAGATGTGCATGAAGCATACAACATTTAAACCGGCAGCAACTGTGCGTGACCACAGTACATGATCTCACTTGTGCTTCATGAAGCCTATAAGTGTGTGAAATTATTATTTCAAGGCATAAACCAAAGGCAGAGGCTCTGTAGCGTACAAACAAGAGTATGGCTCAACTGTAATAATAAAGCTGAGTATTGTACATTAAACTCCATACAGAGGGGTTAAGTTGGTGTTCTTGTTTCTGACAGCATAACATGTATAGGAGTTCAGACTGGTTCAAATAAAACATCACTACTTTCAGCTGCCTTGTTACCTTGTAATTCTTGGAGATTACTTCAAAGTTATCAGGGTTATCAGAGGAGGATTTTCTCATTCCCTGAAAAAGTTTTAACATTCTGAGCTGCGATGCTTTCCTCTCAACACCAGCAACATATGCATCCCTTCCAACCTCTCACATACTGTATCCAATCCAGCTGTGAGGTGGGAGCTCCCAGATGTTGCTGCTGCTGCTGCTGCTGCAGTGGCGTTATGTAAGTGAAGTGAAACCATAGAGATTACCCTGACAGTCACATGGGTAGGACCGCTGGGCTCAGGGCTTGCATACAAACACAGACAGATAGCGGATTACCCGCAGGATTTGCAGAGGAAAGCTGTCTTTTTAAGATGAGTTTGTGACATTTCTGCTTTTGCTGGATATACAGGAGGAAAAAAAACATAAAAAAGCATGTGAAACTGGTTATTGTACGTGATAGATGAGCGGGACTTGAACCCAAGATGTTGCAAACACTGTGGCACAGTCAGTGCCTGACTCTGCTGACTCACAGAGTGGCCTAAAGCTGTCTTAATCCTAGAGATAAACACGTGTTGGTGGCGTTTGGCTTAGCTTCACTGTTTTTTTTCCGGTTTTTTAAAAGGCTTTCAAGATGGAGCAGCCTGTAGGAAGGGGTTTTATGTGGTGATGAGTTGACTCACACAAGCACCTTAAGGAACAAAGTATTGGAAACGATGCAAAAACATGCAAATACATGTGTACGTTTCGCTTTTTCTTCCAGGAGGCCAGAAAGAGAGAGAAACACTTTACTGCTGGGCAGCTGCAGCCTTTCTGCTCCAAATATAGCTGCTGGAACACACTGATTACACAGGATCATCATCATTCCTCTGGCCATTGATCACAACAACATCACTTTAATGTTTTCAGCCACATGGAGAATTATTTAGATTTTCAAGTCTGAGCATTTCTCATTCCCCCTGTGTGGCATCATTTATTGTCCATACATTGATTGGGATGCACTGCAGCCAAGTCTCCGAGAGGGGAGGGGACAGGATTGGATTCATTACTGACAGAGACACTAATACTAGGATGACCTCACTTTATGTGAGATGCTTTCCAAGAGAAAGTCTGGAACAACAGAGGGACTGGCTACCATCACTGAGGGGGTTTAGAAGACAGGGATAAAAGACAAACAGATGCTTTATCCACCTAAAGTATATCCTTTACAAGAGTAACATTTCATCTCTAGTTATAATTTTTAATTCTGAAATGATTCAAAGAAAGTAGAAGGACTTGGATGAGCAAGTGGCCATGAATTAATATGAAAAGAATCTTTTTTTTTTTGTAGCTCATGGTCTTTTAAGACTTGTCCCAGGAGATGAGAAACAAATTCTCCCTGGCTTAAAAGATCTAAAACACATTTGGAGTAAGCACATCCACTTTAAGTCTCCACTCTATTGGCTTCATGTCAAAGATTTTTTAACAGTGCCTGGTAAGCAATCTAGATATGACTCAGAGTCCTGCATTATCACTATTTGGTGTATACAATATTAGCAGTTTGCAATGCAGAGAACACACTGCAATTCAACAGCAACATCACTGTAATATAAACAGTACATCTGTGTATGGTGTATGCTCAGGGCCATTCAGCACAGTAAGTGTGCACGTCCTGACAGTGTGACAGTGAGCCAGGACCCTGAAACTGAAGCAGGGGGGAAAAAATGGGGATTTAGTGTTTATTAAGTTTATTATTCACACCTGTGCTTCTACTGCAACCTGTCAAAATGCCACATCCTATTCATGCCACTTGTAATTTGATAGCACATACTTCCATAGTACAAAACAAAATTGCAGTTACATCACTACAAACCAATAGTAAACCTGGGAGTTTGGGCATTTGCCTGCTTTGCCCATTTAGTAATCCAGGATTGCTTTTAGTGTACACACCTATATTGTAGGGATCATATTGAGTGTGTTCATGTATTAAAATTATTAGGTTAAGATAAGATGAGGTGAGGGGAGTGGAGAGGAGGTGAGGTGGGGTGGGGTGGGGTGAGGTAAGGTGAGATGAGATAATAAGATGAGATGAGATAAAATAAGTAACTCTTAATCAGGATTCAGGAAATTCAGGAGTCAGTGGCAAGAATAAGTGATTGAGTGTTGAAAAGGGTTAAAAATATAACAAGAATAATAATTAAATAACTGAAATACACACCGTGTGTAGTATATTTACAGTAAAAATATAGCCTAGAAATACAGCTTATAAATATCATTGCACAGTGTGGAAAAATTGCAAATTCTTTATCTATCTATCTATCTATCTATCTATCTATCTATCTATCAATCTATCATTTGAGACTGCAGACAGACAGGCGAGCAGGGGGCGATGAGAGGCCGCTAGAGAGCAGCCAGTGTCTGCACAGAGCTCTATGTGCTGGCAGGGGGAGACGGATCGTGGCAGAGCAGAGATGTAGTGTAGCTCGCTGGGACTCCGTGGCCAGCCGTCTGTCACTTTTACCGGGGATCATTTGTCTGACATCGCCGCGGAATGGGAAGGATCGGATTTATAATTTTGCACAGTTCCACTGCATGAACGTGTCGCGTGATGCGACCGAGAAGAGCTGCCTGCGGGGGGAAATATTTATGGTTCGGGACGGTTTTGTTGGAGTAGCTAGTTGCTAGCGCTGGGCTAGCGACTGTGCTGGCTACTTCGAACGTATTTGTTAAGGATGCTACGGTGGATACGACAACAGCTGGTAAACCTACTCTCCTGCCTTTCTTATAACGCTAGCACTCATTAACGTTAACGTTAGCTCTCGGCAGCAGTCGCCTAATACTGTTCTTAGCCTAATGAAAGCTGTATAAACTTTATTTAGACAACATTTAGCAGGCTAACCTAGCTAATTAGCTGTTGTCGATGTGTCCAAAACATTGTCGTGTCTCACAGTAATGACAGCCAGGTGTAGGTAGTGTTAGCTACCTCCCCAGTTAGCTAGTGATAATTAGCCGACTGTGGGCTACCAAGCTAGCGAGTTATAACCTAAACAAGAAGCAGACCGGGGTTGAGTTTGAATTGTAGTTTTGAGTTGACTTGAAGTTTGCTTGGTTTGTAACCACAGATGAAACGTTTGCCGCTGTAAAAACACAACTGAGACAACGCTAGCTAGGAGGCTACCAATGTAAAACTTCACGAAGTTCAAAACCGTTGCTAACTCCACTTCATCTAACGTTAGCGTTAATTCTTAACGTTTGCTCTCATAGTGACTTATTTATTTGTGTCAACAGAGCCATCAAACCAACTTTAACAGCTGGTTATATGTTAGTACCAACTCACGACTTTGTTATTTTAATATTTATGAAAGCACGGAGCGGCCTAGTTTTCTCTTTATTCATTTAACGTTATTCGTATGAATTTGTATGCACGAACTAAAATGTGACGTTAACGTTGAATGATGATATGCTTAGAGAGCATCCGGTATTTGCTGTAATCACCTGTTGTTTGCCTACAAACATGGCTGTGTGTTGACGCCTTGATAGGCAAAGGGATATGTAGAGCAGGTTAACGACAATGATGGTCCATGGCCAGCAAATGAGTCTTGCCTGGTTTTGATTTAATGTTGCCAGTACAGAGAAGGGGCATAAAAGATCTATTGAGTTTTAGATTATGCTGGAGGGATGAATGATTTGTGTTCCAGCCATGCTGCAATGATACAGTGGTACATGGTAGGATTTTTTGTGGTAATTTCTGTTTGCCAACGTTTCGATAAGAATCTGCATACACTTACAGTATGAATAAGACTGGTGTGACCGGTAGTTGGGGTGTGTGAGCAAGTGAAGGGGGCATGCACATGGGAATGATGAATGAATGAGTAGCTACATGTTTTGGGTTTCGTCACACATTGTTCAAAGTGTTGATGTCACCACAGCCAGTGAGCTTAATCAATGTTAAGGTGTTTCTGGGCTCCCACTTCCAAGTCTCTGAGAACACAGTGTACTTTGGGTTGGGTTGGGTTGGGTTGGTAGAGGGACTCTTTCTCAGCTGCAAGTTTGTCAGTCTTTACAATGAATGTTTCTTTCCACTTTTAGAGGTTAATTTTTCTTCACTCCCTTAAAGCATACCTCAGAGAGACTCCATAGGAATGGCAGCCTCCTCCCAATTTGAGATAGCTCCATTCATTTGACCCATTCCATATAATTGACCTGCCCAGTTAATTAAAAGTATAATTAAAATGCAACTGGCCTAATGAAAAAGTTTGTCGGGGGGCATTTGTCTGACCTTTCTATCAGTTTGGAAGTAATGCAATGATGTTTATTCCCTCATGTACTCCTTATCAGTTTCTTTCCGGTGACACCAGTCCACATTAAGGAGAAAGGTGGAGGAGAGGGAAGGTGGTAGAGTTCGGCAGCGTGACAGGCTTTTATTGGCAGTCATCTTCCACCAGCAGTGCTGACATTATGCTAGCAATGCATTTCCATCATAAAAGACCCAATATAATTACAGTGCAAGGCAAGTAGTGGTAGCAACTGGGAAAACCCTTTGACATCCTGTTCTGCAAGTGTGACATGGGAACTTTTTGATCATCTCCAGTATTTCTTATGGGAAATTATAAATCACGGATAATATATTATTACTGGCTATTTTCCAAACACATAAAACTTTTATGTTGATTCTACCACCCAGACAGCTCCAGGTCCATGCTCACATGGTATAAAAGTCAACTCACATATTCAGGACATCTGAGATGTGTGTTTTAGTGCAAAAAAACCCCAACCAAATTCACATGGTCCTCTTCATAACTTTAGTGATGCATTATTAGAGTTTGTGTTTTGAGTTTGATTTCCCAAAGGCATACTTCACGAATGTAAAGCTTCTCTACAGCAAGCTTTGATATAGCTTATGTAGAATTTTGGATATTGCTTCACTGCACAAAGAGACAAGTATTTTCAGTCAACAGTCATTGCTTGGTAATGCAGTTGCAAGAAAAAAACCTAGAGGTTATAAAACGCTCACTTTGATGCATTGCCTCAATCAGGTTTCAATCTTTGCAGGTTTTTATTTTTTATGTCCGAAACCTAAGAAATGTAATCATGTGGATCAATGTCAGCTGGTATTTATAATATTACATATACTATTCATCTTAGCTTGTTGAGTGAGCAGAACGTCCTACACTTCAGCAGTCTCATTCAGGATCATTTATAGATATTACTGCAGCAGCCCTATTAATCCACTGGAATAAAGCAGAAAAGCATTTGATAATTAAGTAGCCTATGTCACCCTTGATGCAGTTATTAAGTTCCATTTCATCTGTAGCACTGCTTCAGGCTCTTCATTTTGTGCCACATGTTGTTAGATATCTTTTTGGCATCCCTGTAGTCATGTTGTTAGCTGTTGTCATCAGTAATGCAGTCAAAAGCAGTACCTACCGCATCAGACTACTGATAGTCTGTTACGCTCTCTTTCTAATTGTGTTGCAGCTCTCACTTTCTTTATTACTTGCTCTTTATGCAATGCCCTCTTTCCATCTCTGATTAGGTGTTTGATTAAATGCCTCGTAGTCTATGATACGACTGAGTGCGTTGTCTTGGTGGTGATGCATTATTCTGTTCTGTTGCCCAGCCATTGTTCAGGGCAGCGATTCCCCCAAGGCACTGTGGAACTTGTAGGCTGTATGCAGGGAGTAATTACCTGTCAGGGGACAGAATAAAAAGTCTGATTTCAGCTGTGCAGAGTTTAACAAGAAAGCCACATTGAAATAGTTGCTATACTGTCAGTGTTGTTTATTTTTATTGTCAATGCTGTACTGCCAGAAAAAAAAGAAGAGACCCATTATTTTCTTTTAAAGTTCAGTTGTACAATGTGTGACTTCTTCCTGATATTTAGTATCAGCCTCTTTGCACGGTTATAGTGGTCTGTAAGATTTGAAATCCTTATTTAACTCATCTTTTACCTGCTATATCCATCTTCTCTATTGTGATTGGTATAAATGGAATTGAGGACATAAAAAATGGAAAATGGCTTCCAACTTGGATTCACCTCATTAGTGTACTTAATGAAACGGTTAAGTGCCCCTTCTATGTGCCAGTCACACCTAGCCATCAGCCAATTATGACATCAGCTCTCTGCAGTTTTCAGATATGTCTATTCAGTCTGTTATTCCAACTAGAGGCAGTCCCAAATAACTCAATCTGGCACTCAGTACATCAGGTTAGGTTTTTGGCTCATCACGACTGTTGGTCCTTGAATATGTCAAGCTGTTTAAGAACATCTGAATGTTTAAAAAAGTGTAACCTACATGTATATTTTATATGCAAGCAAATACAAAAGTTATAGCCCTCTTAGGTTTAACTGTTGAGACTGTAATAACCAAGAAAGCCTCAATATTGGGGCCTGTTGGTTGCTGTAGTGCAGCAAAGTATACAGTAAGACGTCTGAATCAAGTGAATTAGTGCTGTTTTGGCTGTATGTACAATGACTGAGAGAGTTAAATGATAGGATGCATGTCTTGGGAATCAGCAATAGGCTCAATCCATTGCATGTGTTTTTCACAATTTAATGTCCTTTATTTTGGTGGTTTCATTTTTTTCTTCCTTAAGATTACCCTTTAAAGCTAAATGCAGCATGGCACTCTTTGTGTGTAACATGTAATTTTCCTTATTGGCATCATGTGCAGGTAAAATTCATTTTCTTGGCTTAACTCAGATATTGTGGGCTACTATTGTTATTTAATATATGCTGTCTGAAGAGGAGCATGAAACTCAGGCATTTGATTCAGGATAGGCCTTAACAAAGGACAATTAATGGTCTCAAATCTTGATTCTAAATTATGCATGGCATTACCTGCCTAATAAGAAGGAACATTTAACACTTCAGTGAGTCTTTTTATTAAGATCATCCTGCTGTGAGATTGCTGCACATTTCCATGATCATTTATTGTGCGGGATGGATATCATGTGCTACTGTTGTTGTGACTGACAGATTGATGTCAGATGACCAATTCGAGTGCTTCTGGGTGGTGAAGTGTGTGTATATGCTTGCAGCAGGCCATCCTTGATTGAATAACAAGACACAGCTTGACATTTAGTCACTCTGTTCAAGTAGTTGCAGATTTGTGGTTGTGCAGCAGCACCAGCATTTATAATCCAAATCATGTGAAGAGGAATGTAATTTTGTGTAGATGGGATCACCTTAACTGTGCATATATCTTTGCTGGTGGTGATAGAGACTGGAGACAAGGTAGCAGATGTGATGCTAGCCAACAAGAACATTTTGTCATGTCAGCCAACTCTGGTCTTGTTCTGTAGCTCTATAATCTTTGAATGACCCCTGGCTGTAATCAGTCTTCTGTATGTTCACTTGCTAGCTCAACAAGATGAGCTGGACACTCCTAAAGCAGTTGGATCTTTACACTGTGAGATGTCATTAGCTGCACACTAAAGCATTGGACTACAGTTACTACATTAAAGCTGCATTGCATTCACAACTGTTGAGTGAGGTACTTGTTTTAATTTCACAAGACCACATCTTTGTTACAGTTAAACACAGCAGTTTAGTTTGCTCTCAGCCAGCAGTAAAGCTAACTTGAGCTACTGTGTGCCAAGATATTAATGATTAAGCAACTTGGCTGATAGCTGAATGATGTGGTAATGAGTTAGAACGTCCTTCTCCTCAGACTGTCTGACAAACTGGGTGGAGCAAGGGAACGAGAATTACCTCCTGCAGCAACCACCAGCAAGATCCTATACAGTAATCCTGTAAAGGTGTATTAAGTAATGTGTTTACCATCCTGAAGTACAAAATTACCATAATCTATGTGCAGGGATGTAATAGCTTGTTGATCAATGCCAGTGACCCAACAACTGCTTGGCTGTATGGAGACTCCTGGCTTACAAAACTCATTTCCTGGCCCGTTGGTGTCTGCCATTGCTGGCTCATATTCAGGGTATTGTGTTAACAAACAGTGGTAGTATTGGGCCAGTTTCCGTTTTCTACAGTAGTAATCTTTGGTGGTAGAGTGCAGCTTCAAACTATGAATACAGTACTGTATGTGCAGCTGTATGATTGCTGGATGTTACTTTAAAAGGTTTTTCATGGTTCACATGCTCAGTTGACCTTTCTTCTAAAGTATTAAAAAGTTGTGTTCTGAGACTGATACAAAGAAAAGTAAAGTGGCATTATTCAAGCTAATAAAATGAGTGGGCTTTTTTTTTCACAAGAAGTTACCTGTAACTCCCCATAACTTCTGATTAAATGTTAAGCAAATTTTAGGCTACTGTATAACCCGATTTAACACTGCAAGTAGTGCTCATTATTAATGCTAAATTTATCAGAACTCAAGTACTCGCAGTGAGTTGGGAAATGTTGCTGTTTGCCATAACTGACTAGATGGTGCACTGGTTAGACTGGTGTGGTTCCAATTCTTCTCTCCTGCTGAGTCTCTGTGTTGTTTACCTTGATGACATATCGGAGCGATGCTGGTCACAACCCACAATAAGAGCCTGCAGCAGTCTTCCTTTAACAGCTCCCTGTGGGTGTTTCCGTGTGTATAATTCCTCCCTGGCTCTGCAATATTTAGAACTGATCCATTGGCCAATTACAGCAGAATATGTCCGTTTCTGGTTTATTAAACCTATTTTTTCATTGAAGAATAGCACTGCTAATAAAGCTCCAATAGCTGTAACAGCTACAATATTAAGAGGAAAAGACAAGACCTTCATGCAACTTTGATAAATTCTTCATCGACCCTAATGCACATCAATTTGTAAAAACTGCAACAGGCTAGCATTTGTGCTGTCATTGTTCAGTCTTAGTGTTAGGTGTGGTGCAATTATTTAATAAACATTAAAGCAGCAGCAGATGGAGAGCTTGAGAGAGTGAAACAGAAAGGCAGTAATAGTTTACATGTGTCCCTGAACAGAGGTGAATCTGTGTGGGAGTGGGTGACGTGGCCCGGATACATTCCTTTGTGTGTGCGTATGGGTGTGTGTGTATGTGTGTCGGATCTGCGTCATAGAACATTTGCAAATGATTGTAAGCACTTGCTTTAACCTTCTTAGAATAGCTGTGGGGACGAGTGTGACACACTGGACAGGACCACACAATGATGTCAGAACTAAGCAAAAAAATAAAAAGATTAATAGTAGAAAGTATAGGCCTATCTGTTTTGGTCTGCAGATTAATGGATGAAAAACTATCATTGTCTGCTAATATTAATAACTCTCTTTAATATTTACCAGTGCTTAAGACATTACACTTTTTGCACGATTGATTTTCTTTGCTAGCCAACTGCTTTTACCAAAATGTCACCTTGTGTTTTTCTGGCAATTAATTTGTGTTTTAAAATGTTAATGTTTTGATAAACTTTATTTTGCATTTCTTGTGGCAATGACTAAATGGCTGAATTTACTGCAAATAATGTTGGAACAATCGCAGTATATATATTTGTTGATTAATCATTTTGCCTATAAAGGTTAGAATATCACAATTTTCCAAAGCCCAGGTTAAAATATTCAAACTGCTTTGTTTTTTTAATCAAACCAACAATCCTAAACTCTAACATTTGGTTTGCAGTGATATAAAACTAAAAAAAATATGTAATACACCATTAAATCTTGTACATTTTTGCCTAAGAAGTGATATATAAATAAGTGAAAATGTCTACCATAAGGGATGTACTAAGAGTTGAAATGTAAGTAACCTGTTTTCTCTCCTTTTCCACATTTTCCCATTTGTCCCTGTCTCTTGCCCCACCCCTCTCCCTCTCTCTCCTCATATATCTTCCCTTCCCTCAGGGCTTTGACCCCCCTCATCAGAGCGACACCAGGACGGTTTATGTAGCAAACCGTTTCCCCCAGCATGGCCACTACATACCACAACGCTTTGCTGACAACAGAATCATTTCCTCCAAGGTACCACATGTTATTTAAACCATTGCTGGAATTTAACCCATGGTGTTATCACGAAAGGATTTCATGATCTTCATTTTTTCTTTTTTTTTTTTTGAGTGATAGAAGCATGATTTTTTTACAAAGGAACTGGCTTGAATGCAGGATCGACTCAGACAGAAAAAAAACACATTTGTATTGGTGAGGGGATTAGTCGGTCAGTTAAAGGACTAACTGGACAAAAGGATAATAATCCAAAAAGGCTGCTGCCAGCCACCAGCGGGGATGGCTGTCATTCATTAGGCAGCTGATTAAATGATTGACAGATGGGTTAAGTCACCTGGCTCAGAATTAAGTAGATTTGAAGTCATGCATTTCAAAGAGACAGAAACAGCTCATACATAAACAAGGTTAGTTCTGTGCGGTGCACTAATCTGATGAACTTCACCTTAGTAAGGTGAAAGCAAGTCGTTAAAAGTGCATGCAGAAACACAACAAGACAACAAAAACTTTCTTCCATTAGCTATTCCTTCTAGACCACGCACAGGAAGTGATGAATTGAAACCAAAGAGTGAAACAACAGTCTGAAATAGCAGTTGTCTTGAGAGGGCGGTGCCCAGCACAGCTCAGTGAACTCTTTCACCACTTACCATAAGACTTTTATGTTTGAATCACAATTTACTGATGCTACCATGCTACATAATGATTTTATTTGGAGCTACCAATATGCAATGTGATAAAGGCAACAAGTATAAAAAAGTGAAATAAATTCTCTGAAGAGAAGACCTGAAAATGATTACTTTAGTTATTTGATGCCTTGATTTTTATATGACACGTGTAATTTTTGTGTCTGATATACCAAACAGTTAAATTTAGTAACCTTTAACAACAAATTCTTGGTATTCATTTTTAATAGCCTGGTTTCACCTGTCCTATATGTTTGTTTGTATACAGTTAATTGTTCCTAATGCAAATCCATCTAGCATTGATTAGGCTGTAAAAGAGCTGCTTAAATAACCTTTTCTTAGTCTTTGTTTTAAATGTTGTGTTTTCTTTCCCTTTCAGTACACAATTTGGAATTTTGTCCCTAAGAATCTGTTTGAGCAGTTCAGAAGGATAGCCAACTTCTATTTTCTCATCATCTTCCTTGTGCAGGTAATAACACTCACAAATGCACACACTCAATTCTCTTTTGATGGTGACGAGTCAAGTGCGACCTCAGGTTTCTTGCCCTCAATACAAATGTGTGACTGTTTGTGCGTGCGCGAGTGAGTGAGTGAGTGAGTGAGTGAGTGAGTGACTCATCGACTTCCAGGGACCAGCAGAGAGACAGGTCTGCCTCTGTATTAAAACATTACGCCTACACATTAAGTAATATGTGTGTCTTTACAGCCATCCTAAGGCATTAGGCCTTCACTGTGCATCAGTCAGCCTGTGCTGAAGTAGCATTTGGCTTTCAAATTTTTCAGCCTTCTCCTGATTTATTTGGGCCTGTGTAGTGAAGCCAGAGCAATCAACTTGACTATGTCTAAAAAGGCTCTCTTTTCACCCACTCAACTTGTCAGTGAAGCTGAAGTCAGCTTAGTCTCAAATCGCTGAATGGAGGGCCTCTTTTCATCTTGACATTGTGAACATGATGTTTTCTTAGATGGCCAGTTTGACTGTTTTTAGATAGCTGATTCCTATATTCTTTGCACTGCACTTCCTCTTATCAAACCAATTAAAAATATTCTTGGTCTCAATATAATGTATGTAAGTACCGAAAGAAAGTTTTTGTGAGTTTGTGAGTGTTAAATGTTTGATGATGATTTTTTTAATCCTCTGGAAAGGAGTGTGTGTGTGTGTGTGTGTGTGTAATTCTGAACTGACAGTTAACCTTTGAGGGAAGTTAAAGGGGTTTCCTGTTTTACACATCAGCCACTACTTCTCTCTGTTGTCTTTCTGGTCTAGTCTCTCTGACAGGGCACACCCACTTCTGCTGTGTCTCAGGTATCTTTTTTTCCACTGCACTTGCAATTCACTGAAATCTCTGCAAACCTGCCCCTGTGTTTGTCTTTCCAGTTAATGATAGACACCCCAACTTCCCCAGTCACCAGCGGCCTGCCTCTCTTCTTTGTGATCACAGTAACTGCTATAAAACAGGTGAGAACACAAGCACATTATGGCTTCCTCTTTGTTGGGCTGAAAATGGGGAACTAACATGCATGCAATTTTATTGAAGTTAGCCGGTAGTTGACTGAAGATATCCAACTTGTCTCAACTTAGTGTACAGTTAAATTCAAATTCATTAAGAAAACTTTAACCATTCATGTACAGTTAATCAGTCACAATCTTTTATGAAAATGTTTAGTTGGTTGTGAAAGCTTTATTTACTGACCAGTAATGAACTTGGCATTGACATAAATACCATTTGGATTACCAGAAACAGTTATTGGTCACTTCAGATCAGTGGCTAGTCATGCCAGTAGTGTATTGCCCTTGTTGATCAATAATACTATATTAATGTCAGTTACTACATGCAATTGGTTATTAAATGGATTTCTTTATTAGGGCTATGAGGATTGGCTGAGACACAAGGCGGACAACGAGGTGAATGGTGCTCCAGTGTTTGTGGTTCGCAGTGGAAGTCTGGTCCAGACAAGATCAAAGAACATCAGGGTAAGAAAAACCACATAGAAACTTTACCAGTTATTCTAGGTCAAAGCCTTACACTTGGTTTTATGAAATTACTTCCACCTAAGCAAAGCATTCTGCTTGTTAATGGGGAAAAAACTTATACTTAGAAGTACCTCTGAGTAGCTTTTTCACAGCTCATAGCCAACAGCCATAAATAACTTAAGCTTTGCTGTTAAATTCCTGGTGCTTATGGTGTTTCTGTAGGGCTAGTCTGTATAGACAGATAATATAAGATATTGTTGTTAATGAAAAGAGTTCTGTTTCATATGTAAGGACTGCAAGAAACTGGGGCGTTCATGGCTGTTGAACACAAACACAATATAGTGTTTCCCACAGAATTAGAATCTATGTGTGGTGGTAGCTGATGACCTGTGTGTGTGTATGAGGCAGAACTCATGAGCTCTTTGCGAGGGAGCTCTTTTTTCCCTCCGCAGCAGTCTGTGGAGTTTTGAAATGCAGGGTGGGTAATTGATCAGATGATCTGATCAGATCAGATCGATGAATGATAGAAGCAGCTCCTGCAGAGGTGAAATTAGACCTAGCGCAACAAGTGGTTAAGTTTCACTTTAACTGCGGCTGATGTTCTGCTACGTCGTCTGTTCCCAGAGTGCGTTCTGTTCTGTGAGAGCTTGGAGCAAATAATAACTGAACAGTAAATACATCCCAACAGCACACATAATGAATGGTCCAGCTCCAAAAATAAAAAATCAAAACATGGTGGCAGATGTTTTAATCATGGCAGGCCGCCACAAATAAATGAATGTGTAGTAAACCCTGCAATGGCAATGTTCCTTGAATGAGGCATTTCTTGCAATTACACTAGTGTGTTTCATGTCCATATTGGACTGCTTGGCATTACTTGTCTTTACAGCCTGTCATTTTTCTGAAGACCACTGCCATAGTACCCAATTCTTGAGCTAATTGCGTATTTACAGCCTTGATGTTACCTCTCCTGTCGCTGATGAGGTGTCTGCTTCCATAATGTGCCTGTAACTCAGAACACTGTAGTGCACACAAATCCTCAGAGGTCAGGCTTGTCAGAGACACAAGTGTGTCTGGAGCTAATGCAACACTGCCTAAAAGACGTGTGTCCTTAATTTAATCAGTTAATGAACCTCTCAAGTTGAGAGTTTTACCTAGTCACAGCCCGGAGGGAGGTTTTTTTTTTCTCTTAATTTAAACTGAAATTAAACTCCTTTTTTGTCTGCTAAAGCATGTGTACATTCTTTGTAAATCACTTGTCCTGTGTTCTTTGAGAGAAAATCAGAAACCAAAAGGTATGTTTTATATTATTTGGTTAATGCTGGTCTTTTCTAAACATTAAGTTGACAAACTTTGTTTCCACTTTGGCCTTGAACAAAAATGAGATTATTTACCCCAAAAAATAAGTACTACAAAAATTAAATTCAGACTAAGAATGAAATTCAACACCCTTGACAAAAAATGTAATTAAAGGGTTCCTTCAAAATAGATCAAATAAATGCTGGTGTATAACGTAACAATATTGACCTTGGGGTGTGTGTGTGTTTGTTTTACTGCCTGTCCGTCCAGGTGGGGGATATTGTTCGTGTAGCTAAAGATGAGACGTTCCCAGCTGACCTGGCACTGCTGTCGTCAGATCGTGCAGATGGCACCTGTCACATCACCACAGCCAGCCTCGATGGAGAAACCAACCTTAAGGTCTGTTTGTGTGTAAGCATGTGTGTTGTCTTTGGGAGTTTATGTGAGAATATCTATGACGTGTCTGAGTTTCTGACATGAAAACTTTTAACAGACTACTAGTGCTACTATTTGTGCTGCAAACAACCATTGGTTGAGTAAACAAGATAGCCACAAGTCAACAGCTCCACCTTTAAGGTGCCCCACACCATGAAAACAAACAAAAGTTAACATTCAATGAAATAAAAGTCTTCATTTTGTCCTTGGGGCATGACAGACCTGTTAAGTGCATTTCCTTGACAATAACACATTTACAAAACTAAGATTTTTTTAAAATGTTTTGTAGCTGTGTTTTTGCAGCATTTCTGTTGTTACTGCCACTAACTATTGATCTGTGGAATTGTATGAAACAAAAATGTGTCATTAACCAATCAACCAACTGATTAAAAAAAAAAAAGAAAATCAGCAAATACATGAATTTAGATTTCAAAGTCCTGAAAAAATAAGCGGTATGCTCTGCTCTGAGATGCTGGGGTTGTGTCTGCTGAAGGAGCCAAAATGAAGACCAAACCGCTTGTTATATATATTTTTTATATACACTTTATTAATCCCCGAGGGGAAATTCAATTTCACTCTGTTGTCAAGTCAGAGTGGGCTGCCCATGACAGCCCAATCTGAGCGGCAGTGCCCAGGAGGTGAACTGGCACCTCTCCAGCTACCAGTCCATGCTCCATATTTTGGTCCAGACGGGGACTTGAACCAGCAACCCTCCGGTTCCTAACCCAAGTCCCAATGGACTGAGCTACTGCCGCCCCGTTAGGAGCTAAGCCAGTAGCACAGTAACATACATTACCCCCGAGCTGAAGAACAAGCCGCTGTGCAGTGACAGACTCTAGTTAGCAGCTCAGTCAATAACGTTAGCACATAGTTTAAGGTAGCACAGCACACACACACCCTCTGAGCCAAAGAATGAGCCACTCTGCGGCTACAGACTCTCATTAGCAGCTAAGCCAGTAGCACACACAGTCTATGGTTGCACAGCACACAGCACTCGAACCAGGGAACAAGAGCTGCTGCGCAGCTATAGCCTCGTGTTTAGCAGCCAACGTTAGCAAAAAGCACACACCCATAGCAGTGAGTAGTAACTGCCAGCTGGGTAGCCGATATTTTCCCTTAACAAAGAATTTCGTGGATTATCCTCCCATGAAAGAACTTGTTGTGTGCATGCATTTTTCTGACATTTTAAAATGTTTTTTGTGTGTGTGTTTGTTATTGCTGCCTTTTGTCAAGAAAATAGAGTTAAGTTGGGAGGCCTCTGGGCATCTGTCACATTAGTAATGCCAGCTTGTGTGTGTGACAGGTATATGTATAGCTTGAAAAAGTCTTCAGATGACTAGATATGATGATATAATTTGAGTGTTTTGCACCTCTTGATTTAGCATTTAGAAGGTCTTCTTCTCCCCTCTCCTCCCCTCTACCCTCACAGTCCTGCAGAGGCTTTGTTGCTTAATTGCAGCTCTATAATGAGATATAGCTGCCACTGTTTAGTTATACAGTATGGTGGATTTTTAGCATTGGCCTAGAAATATGTCTGTACAATCTTTGCAGCTTTTGATATCCTTATGTATTGCTGTCAGCTGCAGCTGTTTGTATGCTGTAGTACAGCATATGTAGTCCAGTGATACTGCAGTAGTACGCCCATATCATGTCTCTTTTTTCTCATGTAGGAATGCCTTAACCCAGCCCAAAAGTGTATCCACAGTATTGGATCAGGTTAAGTTGACTAAATATACAATATATAACAAGTTTGAAAAAAAAAGGGCTCAGCTGTTTTGGGCAGGGTCAGAGTATATTGGGTGTTAAAGTAGGTCAGAGGGTTAGAAAACTAACAGTGGTCCCAAATAGGGCTGGGCGGTATTCGCAGTGACGATAACTTACCACAGTAAACATGAGCCGCGGTACTGCTTTTGTGGTTACCTTCATACTGCAGTACTCCGGCTATGGTGGCAGAGCGGGGCCCAGCGGCCGGCCTGCCTGCCTGCCTCACGCACCTCCCTTGCTACATGATGGAGGTGGCCTGGCCAACCGCACTGATTTAAGGCCATACCGCCCAGCCCTAGGCCCAAACGGAGTGGGCATAGGGATGCATTCATGGATGTTTCCCATGATTGTAGTGAAGGTGACAATGTCACCTTGTCACATATGCTGATTATATATTGATGGAACCTCATGGATTCAGTGCATCCCACTGCTGCAGTGTGGTACTGTAGGAGTACAGATTTTGCAGTAGATGCATTGCAGTGTTGCTTTTGCGTGTTATTCAAACATTCTGTGATTTTTCCAATTGTGGGTTTGCTTGAATAGGTGTACTGCTGTGTATTACAATCACTCCACCCTGATGTTCTCTCTCCTCCATATGACCAGGATAACAGTTGAGGTGCAGCCTCCTCCCATGCAGAGCAGCTGCAACTGATCAAACCAGTTATTTTGTAAACACAAAGATTTTTTGTTCTAGTTATAGATCTTTAACATTTCTCACAAGTTTGCACTCTATTTTAAACCATGCTTCTCTTTCATCAGCATTTAACTGTATTTGTGTGTTTTGTTTGTTTGAAGACTCACTACTCCGTGGCGGAGACCTCAGTGTGTCAGTCAGTAACCCAACTGGAGGCTCTGCAGGCTGTGGTGGAGTGTCAGCAACCGGAAGCAGACTTGTACAGGTAATCTGCATCTGAAGTCATTAAGCACATATTAGAAATGAGGGTTCTACCTTTCGAATCCTTATCTTAGAAGATTTTTGTTCTTCTTATTTTCATTTAGTTTTTTGTTTTGTTTTGTTTTATTTTTTTTATTGTATGACTGTAACACTATAAATATAGATGAGTCTTGTTACTGACTCAATTTTCTGGGATCTTCAAAGATCCCTGAAAGTCTCTAGATCCCACTTTAAAAGCCACCATGATAGTACATGGTAGAAATGCCCTGTAAGATATGTTATTACATGGATGATGAGGTGAGATGGCTTAATCACCTCTTCAACAACTGCTTTTCCTCTGGTCTGTCTCAGCTGGCTACTTCAGGATCAATCAGTGTATTTTTAGATCAAGCAGTTTGTTTCAGTGGCAGTTTGCTCCCTTCCCCCTCTGTTGGTTGCTGTCTCTCTCTCGGTTGACACTCACTGCCTTTAAATGCACTTAAAGGTGCAGTCAGCGATTCTAATCCAATACACTTTTTGTCAAATTCAGCGATTATCTGCTCATCTCTCACTAGCTTTCCACTCTGTGAGTGAAAATAAATAAAAATATCTGGTATTCATACAGTACACAGCCCTGACTCAGTAAATCGGAAACAAACAAAGCAGTTTGGACTGAGCCACACAACACTATGTCAGCTACTAGGTATGGGTATTGTTTAAAAACAGTTTCTTCAACATAATATTAGGACCAGAAACCTGGTTTCCTTAATCAGGTTAAAAGGATTAAGGGCCTGTCCCAATACCCACACTTCTCCTAGAAATACCCACTTGCACTTGGGTGTGTGCATTCACGTTTAGGCTTGTGGTGTCCCAAAACAGAATTGAGGTAGTGGAAGTGTTTCCAACACTTAAAACCCGCCCTAGATTCCAAGGGAGCCCAGACCCACACTTTCAGTGAAGTGGAAGATGAATCTTCCCAGAACACCTTGCGAAGTCAGCAACTTGGGCAAGTTTTGGAAAACAATTTGTTACTGTACAATCTGAATGTAGGCTGACAACAGATGGTTGGACTAGCGTAAACTCATCAGCAACTAGGTTGAACACAGCGTCAAAATATTTAAACAAATCGACTTACCTGAACAAAATCGATCAGAACTAGAAGATGTAGGCACCTCCTGTTTTCAGCATTTCTTCTCTGTTGATTCATCAGATGGAGAAGAATAAACATAGCACATGCCACAACACAAGCGCTGGAGCCGGCATTTTCAAACCTAAATGACTACCGGTATCTTGTATTGCTACCACACGTGACGTATGCCTGCACGTAAGCCACGCCAATTTGCATGAAGTGGTGTCTCATTTCTTAGGGAAAGATCTCTACCCTAATATTTCTCACTTCCCTCATCAAGGGCACTCAATACCAAGTGGAAGATTTAAGGGGTAGAGATGGGATTGGGCCTAAGATAATCATTGTTAGATTTCTGTAGAGAACACTGATTGTATACACTATACCATATATCTTATGGAATGATTACATACAGTCAGGTCCATAATTATTTGGACAATGATACAGTTGTCGTCATTTTGGCTCTGTACACCACCACAATGGGTTTTAAATGAAACAATGAATACCTGCTTAAAGTGCAGACTCTCAGCTTTCATTTAAGGCTTTTTTCAAAAATGTAGTATGAACCATGTAGGAATTACAACCATTTCTTCACACAGTCCCCCAACTTTAAGGGCTCATAAGTATTTGGACAAACTAACATAATCATCAATTAAACAGTCAGTTTTAATACTTGGTTGCAAATCCTTTACAGTCAATGACTGCCTGAAGTGTTGGACACATAGGCATCATCAGATGCTGGGTTTCTTCCCTGGTGATGCTCTGCCAGCCCTTTACTGTAGCTGTCTGCACTTCCTGCTTGTGTTTTGGGTGTTTTGCCCTCAGTTTTGGCTTCAGCAAGAGAAATGCATGCTCAATTGGATACAGGTCAGATGATATGACTTGGCCGTTGCAGAACAATCCACTTCTTTGCCTTAAAAATGTCTTTGGTTGCTTTTGCAATATGCTTCAGGTCAATGTCCATCTGCACTGTGAAGCATCATCCAATGAGTTTTGAAGCATTTGGTTGAATCTGAGCAGATAATGGTGCCCCAAACACTTCAGCTTTCATCCTGCTGCTCTTGTAAGCAAGACAAGACTTCACTAGAATAAATACAGAGGGTTTATCACAAGATGCAAACCATTGGTTAGCCTTAAAAATGGAAGGCCAGATTAGAGTTTGTCAAAAACCATCTAAAAAGCCTGTACAGTTGTGGAACAGCATACTATGGACAGATAAAACAAAGATCAACTACCAGAATGATGGGAAGAGAAGAGAAGGAAGAAGGGAAGGAACTGCTCATGATCCAAAGCACACCACCTCATCAGTGAAGCATGGTGGAGGTACTGTTATGTCATGGCCATGTATGGCTGCCAGTGGAACTGGTTCTCTTGTATTTATTGATGATGTGACTGCTGAGAAGAGCAGCAGGATGAAAGCTGAAGTGTTTGGGGCTACATTATCTACTCAGATTCAACCAAATGCTTCAAAACTCATTGGACAATGCTTCACAGTGCAGTTGGACAATGACCTGAAGCATACTGCAAAAGCAACCAAAGACATTTTTAAGGCAAAGAAGTGGAATGTTGTGCAATGGCCAAGTCATATCATCTGACCTGAATCCAATTGAGCATCCGTTTCTCTTGCTGAAGACAAAACTGAGGGCAAAACACCCAAAACACAAGCAGGAAGTGCAGACGGCTGCAGTAAAGGGCTGGCAGAGCATCACCAGGGAAGAAACCCAGCATCTGATGATGCCTATGTGTCCAACACTTCAGGCAGTCATTGACTGCAAAGGATTTGCAACCAAGTATTAAAACTGACTGTTTAATTGATGATTATGTTAGTTTGTCCAAATACTTATGAGCCCTTAAAGTTGGGGGACTGTGTGAAGAAATGGTTGTAATTCCTACATGGTTCATACTACATTTTTGAAAAAAGCCTTAAATGAAAGCTGAGAGTCTGCACTTTAAGCAGGTATTCATTGTTTCATTTAAAACCCATTGTGGTGGTGTACAGAGCCAAAATGACGACAACTGTATCATTGTCCAAATAATTATGGACCTGACTGTACATGTAAATCATTCTTCATTTAGGTCCAGCTGAAATTGAAAGTGATAGGTCTAAAAATGTAAGTTTCCTCTGCTGAAGTTCTTTTTTTTTTTTTTTTTTTGAGACAGATTCTCTCAGTTAAAGACGAGCTGTCCACACCAAAGCATATATCTAAGTGCTCTGTTAGTCCAAATGCTCCAGAGAAAACCAATGCAGTCCGCTAGAGGCATCAGTCTAATACATTTATAACATGTCAGAGGACAGGGATGAAATATGCTTACTGACCAGACATATATAAAAACAAATCAGGTTATTGAAGTGCACGTAAAAGCCTTTCTCAGATCCCTGCATTCGCATGATTTCTTCCAGTAGCCTGCTTTCCTGTGTGCATGTGAACGTAGTTGCTGTCTCTCTAACACCACTCAACTCAAATGCCTTTGGTGTTTTCCAGGTTTGTTGGTCGGATTACGGTGACTCAACAAGGAGAGGAGATTGTCAGGTGAGACCAAATTTATTCAGCTGCTCCTTCTCTAGTAATTGAATTCATAATTATATGTATGCTAGACAAGCTGATGACACTGCTAAACAGAAACCCCCATTAAAATGGATACGGGGCCTTCTGATTAGCGTGCTGGTGCCAAGGCCACACCATCAGACAAATCAAATGAAACAATAATTTAGGATAAAACATGCCACAATGTCTATGTGACTCGTTGTTGTTACAAAATTACTGACCGTGGGCTTGAAGAGATGAAGCTGTCCCAGATATTTAATCAGCAGTGGACTGATTTTCCACCAACACACAAAAATGTGCAGCAAAATTAAAGTGATTAATTACTTAAACAGAAGATGTATGAGCCTCGTAGACTGGTGTTGAGTATTTTAGTTTATATCAAAGTCCTGTTGAGTCTTGTTTGTGCTGAAATCCTGGAGCTGCATCCATCTTTCTCTGTATTTATGTTGTTTTTGTTTTTTTGCTTTTATGTCAGACCACTGGGCCCAGAGAATCTGCTGCTGCGAGGAGCCAGGTTGAAAAATACCAAAGAGATTTTTGGTGAGTCAATACAGTTAGAATCAAAGGAAAAGTTCCTACAAAAGCAGAAGCCCCACCTGAGAGGGAAGCAGCAAGGGGGTAAATTATTTCCTACTGGAGGAAGTTTCCAGTTGAATTGAGCAAGAAAGACAAAATATATCTGCACAAGAACAGGCTGCTTCTGGAGCTTGATAGTGAGGTGACACAGCCATGTTGCAGCTGTGACACAACCAAGCCAAGTTTAGTGGACATTATGTGTAGGACAGGCCACTCATTAACATATAGCTGAGGTCCAGTTATGTCAACCGAAGACTTTTATAGCAATGCTCCAATGCTTCACTAGTGTATCTGTATCATAGAAATAGAATGGATAGAAAGGACGTTGAACTGTTTTCTGTGGTCATTTGACTAGTTCAAGAGAAAAGAAGATTGTTGTTAATTGTTATGGTGACAACACACGTCAGTGGGGCTGTAACGTGTGTCACACTCACTAGTTTGAGAACTCTGGTTTGATTTCTTACACTTGTTTTCCTTATGAAACAGAAAAAATTCAGTCGTACACCAATCTAAGTTTCTCTCTTTCATTAAACTAAGACTGACATTAGCTTAATTGCCGTGTTAACTAATCGTAAAACACACTTCATTCAAACTCCACATAAACAAAATAAAATTCACCAAAACTTAGTTAAGTTAAATTAACTTAACTTAACTTAGTTATGTTAGTCTTTCCACTGTTCCAACAATCACTATCTGGTTTGGTCGAAATAAACCCTCAACACACAAAGTTAGATGTGAATCTACATACTCTCTGTCTCTCTGCTGTCTGTCTCTGCCTTTCAGCTGTCTGCTGAGCAGTGGCTCTCGTTACTGCAAAACCTCACCTCAGTGGGTTTGCGACTTGAAACAAGTGGGTGTCTTTATACAGAACAAGTGGCAACCTCCACGGCTGAAAAATGAACATTCAAGTGCCAAGTACTGCAGTTCTTTGAATGGCAACTTGAAACTGCCTCTGGAAGCCAGTCAATCCCTGTAGACACCCATATTAGAATGCCCAACTGTAAAGCAGAAAATAAACATGTTTGCAGCCTTGTACGAGAAACGGGTTTGGTCTCTACTGCTACTTTCAACTGTACAGGACTGACTCACCTGTTTACATTTTATTAAGGCTTAAAGTTACGCATAAGTGAGGGTAGGCCACTTCGAGTGATAGTCTGTCTGCTGATAGTGTCCTCGGCTTCTCAGTCAGATCCACCCCTCACCCCTCCACAGCGCCAGCCTCTTACCCAAATATGGTCACATCTGGCTTCAAAAAACAAGATGGCAACGGCCGTACTGCCAAACTCAAGGCTTTGAAATGGGAGTCCACAAACCAGTGGGTGACATCACGGTGGCTACATCCATTATTTTTACAGTCGATGACATGGAAGTTTATACAGAAGATATTCCGCTACAAAGGTTGCAATGGCAAGGGTACACATAGAAATTGCCACCGCTCTGACCATCCTGCGACACTGATTTGATTGGGAATGTCCATTCTACTCTCATTATATTTCTATGGTCTGTGTATACTGTTGTAATTAGTTGGCATGGAGAACCAGAGCCAATGAACCACCATGCACACATGGATAAATTTAGTGTCTTATGTCTTCATGACTTGGTGCAAAAGTCAAATAGTTATTTGTATAGTAATAGTTATTTAATATCCCACAAGCCTGGTGTAATACTTTTTGCTGTTGCAGGTGTGGCTGTTTACACGGGGATGGAGTCCAAAATGGCCCTCAACTATAAGTGCAAGTCCCAGAAACGCTCTGCTGTAGAGAAGTGAGCACTTTCTGTTGTCTCTAAGCAAGTATCAAACATCTTGCTGTTTTATAATGTGCTTAATTTAACATTCAACTTTAAAATATTTTCCCGTGCCAGGTCCATGAATACCTTCCTAATCATCTACCTGGGCATCTTGCTGTTCGAGGCTGTCCTCAGCACCATCCTGAAGTATGCCTGGCAGGCTGAGGACAAATGGGACGAGCCTTTCTACAACCAGAAGACTGAACAAGAGAGAAACAGCAGTCCGGTAAGTCTTGCATTCCCATTGATTTTCCCTTTGTAAGTAGTGGGGGCTATCAGCCCCAGATAAGATGAGGTGAGATTTTAGTCAACATTCCACTTCTGTCCCTCCTTTTCCACCACTTTAATCTCCATGGCAAATTATAACAGGCTTTTTTTCTCTCCAGCCAATATAAGTTAATAGAGAGAGTTAGTGAAGATATTAGGATGAGCCCACCCTTGAATCTACATGTACACACATACACACAGAGTCCCAGAAGGGTGCTGTTAGGGCAGTTTTAGTGTCTTTAGATTTAGTGACAAGACTTAAGAGAGGAAGTGCCTTTCATGGGGACAGTCTGCCAGCCTATCAGCCTACCTGCCAACACTAATCAGTCAGAGAGAACAGCAGCCTCTGTGTATGGAGACAGAGGAGGGGGAAAAAAATCACAGTCCAGTACACTCCCTTTCTTTCTGCCTCGAGACAGAGAGTGGAATACCAGCAACAAATTAATGGCTTGTGTTTTTACATTTAGTAGAACAGGTGCTCCAGAAACCCGCAAGCTTTGTTACAATGGTGACTGCATGTATCCCCATCACAGCTAGATTACAAAACCTAACCCAAAAATAGATAACAACAAAAAATTGTTTTTGTACTATTCCGTGACAGCTACAGTATTTTTGTTGCGTGTCTTGTCTGTTCTTGCACATCAGAAAAAGGCTCATTTCATTAGTTTATTTTGTTAAGAAAGTTAGTCAGAGCTCAATTCCAGATAACAAGCCATAAACGTGGCTTTCGTACAGCTACCGATACTCTGCCTATTAGACTGTGGTCCTCTCTCTCTCTCCTTTACTGTCACATAAAGTAATTAAGTCTGTAATGGGGATGAATTACCCTGCCTGCTTTGATTTAGAAGGATCCATGTTGAAGACTTGTCGTTGAAGTGTTGATATCTTTGTGGCTAAGATGTGAATTTAGCAGATATATTTTGCAATCTTAATCTTTTTCTCCACTTAAAAAATTATGTTGCATTGTGCATTACGATGTTGCCAAGTGCATTTCTGTGTTTTTGATGTCAGATGACACACGCCCAGTGTCAGCTGAGATTTAATAAGAAAAACAATTTACCAACAGCTTGAAAAGTTATCTTAAATGACTCAGATGACATATTTACTTTTAAAAATTTGGAGGCATCTTTACTTCTTTACAAACCTACCTCATTTTCCTGTTTTGTAGCTATCATCATTTTCCTCCTCAGTTGTTTTTTCTGTTTTGTATCACCCACTTTCCATCTGGCTTCCAACTATAATTCAGGCTGTTTACTTTTGTTAGCCTGAAGTTTAGTTCACATTGGTTTATCTCTCTGTTTTGTTTCTCTATGCACTTTTTTTCTTATTGCATTGCCTTCCTCTTGTGCTTCATTCTTATTAAATTTACTCTCATCCTTCTCTAGATCTTAAAGTTCATCTCAGACTTCTTGGCGTTTCTGGTCCTCTATAACTTCATCATCCCCATCTCACTCTACGTTACTGTGGAGATGCAGAAGTTTCTGGGCTCCTTTTTCATTGGCTGGGATTTAGACCTTTACCATGAGGAGAGCGACCAGAAAGCTCAGGTCAACACCTCTGACCTCAATGAGGAGCTGGGACAGGTATGGAATAGAAATGCACAAGCACATGTGTACATACAGCACGAGCATAAAGAAGAAGTATTAACTACATAAAAGTCAACTTATGTGTGCATCTGCATGTTTCCGTTTCCTAGGTGGAGTATGTGTTTACAGATAAGACGGGTACGCTAACGGAAAATGAGATGCAGTTCCGTGAATGTTCAATTAACGGAACCAAGTACCGAGAAGTTAACGGCAAACTGGTACCAGAGGGAATGACTGACGATTCTCCAGATGGTTCTACGCCTCACCTGGTAACTCGCATATATACACATTACATTTACTTTCTTTTGTCAGATATATACTGTACATGTACACTCACATTGGTGCATCAAAGAAGCACAGCCAAAGCATATCACCTAATTAACCTCATATGTCAGGGACAGCTTTTTGCCTTAGGCTGTTCATGTAATCACAATATATTGTTGGACTAATGCATTCGTGCTAGAAGTAGAACTGAAAATGCTAGAAGCGATCACTTTGACTGGATGACTGATTGATACAATAAGTTGTTGTTAACAGCATGTATACAAATTGTGCGAACATACAGTATGTGCGTTCACCCAAATCAACCTCTGCTACAGCTTGAGGTTGCTCTTCGCAAATGATGTGACTTGGAGTCATATCTCACTCAAGTTAGCAATAACATACAGTGTGTTATTGTACAGATAAAGTATTGTTCCTTCCTCTCCTTAATCTCTCCCTGTTGTCTCCCTTTCCAGATTGGAGAGGAACTGTTATTTCTCAAGGCGGTGTCATTGTGTCACACGGTTCAGATCAGCTACGACCAGCCGGACTGCCTGGTTGGGGGAGGAGACCCATTCTCCCATGTAAATGGTTTCTCCTCCAATCACATGGAATACTACGCCTCTTCACCAGACGAGAAAGCTTTAGTAGAGGCAGCAAAGAGGTACGGTAACATTATAGTCTCTTCAGTAGACTTCTGTTCTGTACATTTAGTGCATAGGTTGAAGAACTTGCAAAGCTAGCTGACAGACACAAAGGTGCTCCAACCTTTATCCACGCTGTTGACACCAACCATACCGACTATGACCAACTGAAAACACAGAAAAATAGCATGGAATGGAAACCGGAGTTTAGCTCAATGTATCAGGCTTAGCCAGAACCATGGTTTCCATGGTTACCAATGTGAGGCTAATCTTAGCCACTTTGATGGAACAGACCTCTGGCTCACATTAGCCAGACTTGGACATTTAAGCCTGGATTTGCCTTTAGCCTGCTTGATGGAATACCCCCCTGTAGTTGGAACAAATCAACATCTGAAACCTGACTGGAACCTAGAAATACAGAAGTCAGTGAAAGTAAAGGTGGAGAGAAGGAAATAAGGAAAGAGGTGGTTAAGAGAAATAACCCCTATCTTTTTGTGTACTGTGGTGTTGTACTCCTGGTGTCATCAGATTGCACTGGTGTCTAATTGTTACAATTCAGAAAATGAGAAAGAAAGTCCAATCTTCATTCTCTGTAACTCTGATGATGCAAGAAACCAAAACTTGTGAAAGCTAATAGTTACATCATGCAGTTTCTTTCAAGTCTGTTTCCTGCTATTTTAGATTCAAGAGAAGAGTTATGGCTTTAGTTTAGCCAAAAAGCACTGGTCATTATGCATACACCATTTTCTCAACCATTGCACCAATATGAATCCTGGCTGTTGATTTGATGTTAAATTCTGCTTGCTTTACTTCTTATTCTGACTGTGTCAGCTGCTAAGGGACATTGAAATACTTGGGGAGGTTGGACCACAGGCCAAATAGAAAGTGGCACTTACTCGCTTGTTGTTCATTTTATTGATACAGAAGTATAGAGCAAGCAACAATTTAATGCCCAGGGAGTGGTAGAAAACCTTCCAGCAGGTCTGTGTGGAAAATGGCTCAGAAGAGGGGAAAGAACATTAATAAAATGTGACCAGGTTGTACTAAACGAGTTTGATAAAGGGTGAAGCTACAACTCTCCGCCAGTTCTACAAGAAAACAGTACAGAATTGACGATTAAGAAATGTGGCTGTGTAGCACCCATTGAAATTGTCAGACTGTGTTTTACAAAACCTCCAGGATTCATGGTGCATGGGGTCACTGATCCTGGCCAGTGTCGTTTTCATACCATCAGACTGAATTATGTCGGGCAGTGAGGGGCTGCACCCATGACCCAGTGTCTTCATGCTCCATTGAGCCACAGACAGTGTATCTGTGTTGATTTAAACAGAAAGGAGACACTGTTGGAACCGTAACCTCGATAATAACTTGTAAATAGAGCACTCATGTCACCACACCATTAAACTGAAATGTGACACCATTGCTCAGATTACACAAAACATATCTTGGCACTGTATTCTGGTTTTCAAAAGATGACTGATTTCTTTGGTTTGATAAAGATCAAGTAATCGGTCATGTCACAACAAGAAGGTCGTGGATTTTATCACCATGTTTGGAGCCTCGGCCATTTATTTGGTCACCTGAATTTCATTAGGATGTCCCACATTTTTCCTACAGTATAAACACATGCTGAAAACTGTAAACACCATCCCTACATGACCCTGAGGAAGATTAATAGCAGGATGAATAAATGATTGAGGGCCCTATTTTTATGGCCGCTCAATGACCAGCACAAGCTGTGCTCCCTTCGTTTGGTATTTTCCTTGACATTCACTTTGCCTGTACAGGTGGGAGGAGAGGTGCAAACAGAGAGAATGAGGCAGTGAACAGCCAGTTGTTGTTATTTTGGTGGGAATTGGGTCTTAGACGTTGTATGGAAATACAAAACTCAAAATGGTAAATGGATGTTAAATGGACTGCATTTATACAGTGCCTTTCTAACTTACTGGACAAAGCACTTTACAATTTGCCTGTCATTCACCAATTCAAACACACATTTATACACCAATAGTGGCAGAGCTGCCATGCAAGACGCTGGCCTGCCCACCACGAGCAGCTTAAAGGGCGGCCCGCTCTGTCACCTGAGCCATAGCCGTCTTATGTTGGTTTCACATCACTGCTAGTCTGTTGATTTTATCAAGAGCAAACTAAATACTGATCATAACTGATCATTCTCCATCCAGTAAATGAAGAAAATTGCTGTCAAAATGTTTTATGTGGACAAAGCAGGAGTGCTTGTAAAGCAGTCTGCAGTTATCTTTAAATTAATATGAGCAATTCTCACAGTATATGTTGTTCACAGCTGTTTTATACTGCATGAAAAATTCAGTTAACAATGTAATTATGTTGACATTTACAACATAATATGGAGTGAATTTAGAACTGAATTAGCACGGTATTATATGTTCATATTAGTGGCTACAACATTTTCTGTTAAATATTTGTATCATCATTGTACAGATTAAAAAAACACACTCTGTCTGCCTTTGGCCACAAATATGTGTCCCTGTGTTCATGTCGTGCCACTCTGCACCATCCAGACAGCAGTATGATTTTCTGAAGAAGTGTCTCTCCAGTTGTTGAGCTGCTGTTGTTATGATTTATTGTGATATAGCAGTGAAAGCAGTGTTGTTGCTGGTTGAGTGTACCACCTCATCCAAACCCTTTGCGCTGCTGCACATACATGAACAAAAGCAGCAGGTGCACTTGAAAACTGTCACACTGTCCATGTGCCCAAGACCTACCACTTTGCACTTGTCATTAAAATTGGCCCCTGAACAGCCTGGGTGGAGTGCTGTGGCCAAAAGTTACATTTTTGTATCTTTTAAAGGTCCAGTTACCTTGAAAATGTTCCCAAACTCCAATTTTTTCCCCCAAATATTTCACAGTCAAAATGTCCTTTCAGTCAAGACCTCTAGATTTAACTGCTCTTTTTTTCCGTCAGGATTGGAGTGGCCTTCACTTGCAGCAATGGGGAGACCATGGAAATCAAAACATTTGGCAAGTCAGAGAAGTACGTCTAACCCTTTGAATCTCCTCAATGATAACATGCCATTTGGACTGCAGACAGAAAAATGGCTGTGTGAACTACCTCTGAAAAAGACATGGTCATGTCTGTGCTTTGAGTCGTTCATGAACAAACACAAGTGTCTCTCTGCGCTCTTTCAGATATAAACTGCTCCATGTGTTAGAGTTTGATGCTGACCGCAGGAGGATGAGCGTCATACTGCAGACTCCCTCAGGTAACTCCACCTTAAACCACACAGTATTTTTAACATTGTTGACAAAATATTGACTGCAGCAACTAACAGTGAATGCTTGACAAAAGACAAATTGATCGTATGGTCAAACAGAAGACTGCAGATGACTTGAGGCAGTGGTAATGAATATGCTTTTGTTTTTCCATGTGTAAATTTTGTGTAAAAATGTAGTTGTTTTTTTTTTTGTTTGTTTGTTTGTTTTTTAGTTGTACTGGTATTTTCACAAGGTATATTAAACTTTGTGTCTGTATGTTGACTTTCAAGGAGGCCAAGTGCTGTTCACCAAGGGTGCAGAGTCTGCCATCTTACCTTTCACTACCAGTGGAGAGATAGAAAAGACAAGACTACACGTTGATGAGTTTGCATTGGTGAGAAATACATTTCTTTTTTTCATTGTTGAAATGTGTCTGTTGTCTCATTAGGTTCTCTCTCATTATTACTGCATATCACATCTGTTCAGTGTTGTAGTGGTTGGCAAAATCACATCCCATTTATTGCAGTATATTTTCTCTGAATGTGTAGACTATCCAGACTCAAGGGCATTGCTGATATATTAGCTACACTTGATCAACATACATCTTATTCTTTTAGATTGAATGTGCTGTATTTTGTGGTGAGTTATGATCTTCCTGTGACACAGTCCAGTGAGTTAATTATTATTAATATTCATAATTTCCTGAGATAAAGGAGGGCAGACAAGCAGACATTTTAGACACATTAAATTCACTTGATAAACCACACTTGCGTCAGAGAATTTCTTCACAGAAAAATTCTTCTTTCTATTGCAGCCTTCAAATATCTGTAGTTCCTGGGCTGAAATGCCTTTTGATCCATATGTTCAGGATTGCGTGTCTCTGTGTGCCTAGGCCTGGCATTTCCCAGCACTGAAGTGATTACTTTTGGCTCTGTTGCACCACAACAGCCACACACGCACGCACACAAACGCACGCACATATCCGGCCCCCACATCATGTCATCGGACGTCAGTACCCAGGAGTCAGTGCTCTGGACTGGGTTGATTTGTGGTCGTCTGCCCCTCAGGCTGGTTCCGTGATTTAAAGCCAAGCTTTGATAATTTGTTTTTCTGTTCTTTCTCTCTCTGCTTTCATTCCTTTCACTTTCTCCTATTTTCATCTTTTTTACTTACTCACGTTTTCATCTGTACACAAACTCATTTTTGCATTTATCATTTTATATTATGAAATCTTCCTCTTCATTTTTTCCTTCCCCCTCTTTTATTTGCATTTCATATTTCTCATATCTGACTTGTGTCTCCTGTTCTTTCTCTACCCATCACCCACTCTTCTCCTCCCATTGTAGAAAGGTTTGCGAACCTTAGTTGTAGCGTGTCGCCACTTCAGCCCGGAGGAGTACATTGAAGTGGACAGGCGTCTGAACGCTGCTCGCACCGCGCTGCAGCAGAGGGAAGAGAGACTGCAGGAGGCCTTCAGCTTCATTGAGAGGGACCTGCAGCTGCTGGGAGCAACGGGGGTTGAGGACAAGTATGGAGATTAACAAATACATTTGAATATATATAGTGTTGCCCCCCCCCCCCTAAAATCCAGTTCTTATCCTCTTATGCATATTCCATGATGTTAAAAACTTTGCCATCATGTAGAAATCTCATCAGTTTATCAGTACATTCCAAACAGAAATCTTTAGCACAATGCAGTGTTGGCCATGTTTAATATACATGGTACATGTACACCTATATTAGAGGCAAGCAAGGCTTGAGTTGCTGGCCAATGAGTACAGTATGGCTGCTGGCATTAAATTCAAGCCACTGAGTGGTAAAGGTGATTGACTTTCATCTGAAAGCTACTTCAAATGCCCAATGACAGACATACTCAACATATAGTATGATGTGAAATTATCTAACATGCTTGTTTTTTAATCATGTGTTGCCAGGGGCAGCAAGTAAATAACCCATTGTTACTGTGCATATGTTTTATTTCTGCATGGTTAGCTTTAACAACAATCTGTGAAATTTGGTTCTACATTGATGTTTCACTGCATTTATAGCCATGCTAGTGCCTTTATGAATGGCAATGGCTGTTTGAAGGTAGGTCAGTCCACCAACTACTGGATGGATAGTCATGATATTTTGTAGGTGGTCATGGTCCCCAGAGGACTAGCCTGCTTACTTGGGTAATCTCCTGACTTTAAAGCTAATGCCACTATCAGGTTGACTTTTCGTGAAATGTCTTGAAAGCTAAGGGATTGATTGCCATGAAATTTGGTAACAGTCAAGATCCCAGATGATATCCCTTTATGACTGTGGTGATCCTCTGACTTTTCATCTAGTGCCATCATCAGTTCAAAAATGTAATGTGTCCAGTACTTTGGGTTATGACCAGACTTGCAAAACAAATGACTGATATTCCCATTAGCTTCAGCTTCTCTTTGTGTTTAGTGCTAATTAGCAAAAGTTAGCATGCTAGCACGCCAAACTAAGATTGGGACATACCTGATGAACATCAGTATTTGCATAGTCATTGTAAGTGTGTCAGCATGCGGGCCAGAGCATGACTGTAGGCTCTCTGTCTTGTGAAATGTTCTGTTACTAGAAAATCTGCTTTTTAATCATACCCACAAAAAAAGATGGAAGCTGCTGGCAGCCAGAGAAGCAAAGAAAAAAACAGCCTCACTAATAATCATTAAAGCTATGTGAATTAAAAATAGTTGGACATCTGAGGGAAAACTGGGGCATTTTAAAACAGTAAGAAACATATGGCCAGAAACAGACAGATAAATGCAGTGGGTGGGAGAACCTTCGACAAACAAACAATGTATATTCCAAGGGGAGAGAGAGACGTCACCTCACTCAGCCTCTCTGGAAAATGAATGCTGATATGTGTTTGCAACCACTCACCATCTGCTCCTCACATAAGCCTCTCGCTTCTCCCTCTCCATTTATCTCTCTGCTCCCTCTCTTCTCTTTCTACTGCTCTGTTTCTGTATCTGGAATGAATTCCTCCTCAGGCACACATGGTCACAATCAAAGGATCTCCTCTATTATGGAAGATGAGACTAGAATTTCTGTGTTTTGAGCCTAATATGAATAGTGTAATGCTGCTGGCATGGTAATATTGGATCCTATATTTTTTGTCTAATAACCTCATCACAAATATTAACTGCGGTTTAAGATAGGATAAATATTCTTTAAAAAAAATCAGTGCTGCCCAATTTCAGAGCTAGTATTCACCCTCTTCCTCCTCTCATCAGATGTGGATAACATGTAACTATTGGAGCTAAGAGCCTTTAGCTTCATGTGTTGCTGTTGAAGAAGTCTGCTCAAACTATGACTACCTATTTAATAATAATGTGAGGTTTTTCTTATTTGGCTTGTTTGTTCTGGAACAGGTTTTTCCACACTTGCAGACTTTACCTGCCCAATAAAAATAGCTGTTAGAAAGTAGAGGTCTCGCCAATTCCCAAATCTTTGTATTGAATTATGGACACTGTAGTTTACTAACAGGCCTCTGTGGCTTGACCACATTACAACAACAGCAATAAAACCCTGGGTTTAAATGCCAGCTAGCTTCATCACCTCGCCCACAACAAGTCTAAAACAGATTTTTCTCTAGGTTTATGTTACCTTGGGATTTTGCTAATGTGATTATATATATGGATCACTGGGAGCTTTGCATAAACAGTGCATGTAACATGAGTATGTGTTTTATATTCTCTCTCTCTTTTGTCTCTCTCAGACTCCAAGACAAAGTCCAGGAGACCATTGAGGCTCTGCGACTGGCAGGGATCAAAGTGTGGGTGCTGACAGGGGACAAACATGAGACGGCGGTCAGCGTCAGCCTGTCCTGTGGCCACTTCCACAGAACCATGAACATTTTAGAGCTTCTGCAGCAACATTCTGATAACGAATGTGCTGAGCAGCTCCGCAGACTGGCGAGAAGGTGAGCGTGTTTGTCATTTCACTTTTGACTCTGGAGTATGTACAATGTGTATTAAAATGCATCTTGAAGCATTGTATTCTGGTAGCATTGGAGCCTCTTTAACTATTAGATTAATGGACTACTACTACCACAAATTTTTTTTTTTGTAATTTTGTCAATTGTCATGTTACACTGAATTCATGAAGAAAAGTCTGTTTTTCTTGCTTGCCTCAATATTGAGCGAAGAATCCATTGTGAATGAATTAAAGTAAAAGGGGGCAACAGCAAAACTATATCAAAACATTTGTTAACAAATGCTCACACAACTCATGCAATATAATCCAAGTCTCATTTATGTAGTCATATAGTCAGTGCTTCCCATATTTAAAACATGCATACAGTCTCAGTCGAGAAGTGCACCTGCTCAAGTGCGTACTTCCGGTCTGTGCTTGTACATTCAATAGAAATCCAACCTCCCTGCTTGTTCACTGGCCTGGAAGCTACTGACGTGAGTGAGTGACAGCAGACCTCATAGCCATTGTACAAACTTGTGAGCAGGATTTCAGTGGAATGTAGGGGCAGAGTGTAAACACATGCCATCAGCCAGGTGTACTGCTATGTGAAATGTTTTAAATATGACTACTAAGCTTACAACTGGATAAATAAGACTTTGATAATGTGCACAAGTTTTGTGAGAGTAAATGGATGTTTTGATATAGTTTTGCTGTTGTTAAACGTCACCCCCTTGTACTCCCAATTCGTCATGAATTTTCTCTGTTTTTGGATTCTTCATCCACCATGGAGGTGAGAGAAAAAGTTTTCTTCCTGAGTTCAAAGTAAGGTGTTTGTTTATATGCTTGTTTCCAATATAGTGTAGCCTAGGTCTAAACCTGAATATTTAAATTCTATTTTTGGGTCCTACAACATATGCATCATCAACAAAAACAGGCCGAGGCTGTTGGAGCTCAAAAGTACTCCTAAGTGGTGAATCTTTAAAATACAGACTCACTAGATAAAAGGAAAATGTGTCAGTGGCAAATGGGTAATAAACAAAACATCTATGTAACAAGATAATGTGCTGGTGAATGGACTAACAGTAATATCTAATAGGGCATTAGGTTGTATAAGTTGCTAGAGGTTCTTTTTTTCCCTCTCCTTGTTCATCTCCTCTCATATTCTGTTCTTTTCTGTAACTCTCTCTCTCTCTCTCTCTCTCTTCCATTTGTCCAGGATAAAGGAGGACCACGTCATACAGCATGGGTTAGTCGTGGATGGGGCCAGTCTGTCATTAGCATTGAGGGAACACGAGAAGCTCTTCATGGAAGTGTGTAAAAACTGTTCAGCTGTGTTGTGCTGCCGCATGGCCCCGCTCCAGAAAGCAAAGGTACCAGCCCTCTGCCACACACACTCACCCAAATACATTACCCTCATGCCCAGATGTCAATGTTACTTTGTTTTGTTCAGGTTGTGCGTCTTTTAAAAACCTCTCCGGAGAAACCCATCACCCTAGCTATTGGTGATGGAGCCAATGATGTCAGTATGATACAGGAAGCTCATGTAGGCATAGGTAAGACTCATTGTTTATGCACATACACATGCACACAATATAGTTTCAAAGTCTTAAATTATATTCTGCAGAGTGTCCTCCAATTAATATGTGTGTGTGAATATGTAGGTATCATGGGGAAGGAGGGTCGTCAGGCCGTGAGAAACAGTGACTATGCAATTGCCAGGTTTAAGTTCCTGGCTAAACTTCTGCTGGTCCACGGTCACTTCTACTACATTCGAATAGCTACGCTTGTACAGTACTTTTTCTACAAGGTAAGTAACTTTATCTGCACACACTTTTATGAATATCTATGATGATCCAGTGTTTTGGAAAGTGCTATATAAATAAAGATATATAGCAATTTCAGAACACTGGACTCACTCATCTCAATTTCTTGATTTGAATTAATTCTTTGAGCAACACGACTGTGTTCTGCCATGTCTCCTCTCACTGCAATGTTTGTAATGTTTCGCTTCTTTACTCTGTCTTTTCTAGAATGTGTGTTTTATCACGCCCCAGTTTTTATACCAATTCTTCTGTCTGTTTTCACAACAAGTAAGTCTCTTTATCTCTCCATCTCTCCACTCTCTCATATGCCATTGCAGATCTGTTTGTGGTTTTAATGTTGCACCGTCTCTCATTGACTTCACAGAATTCATTCTTAACTACACCCAAGGTTTCTTTTCAAAACTCATCTCAGGATGAGGCAGTTTGATATCAAGTTTGATTTTCTTTTTTAATGTAATGCGATCATTTCTAAGTTTCAAAAGGCTCTAAAGTCGAGACTAATTAAAAGTTGGTACATTTAAGCAGTGGATCTCACAAAGTGAATTTAAATTCTTCAAATATATGTGCAACATAGAACTTGCGTTAAATGATATATCAAACTGTTATTAGCATTAACTCTGTTCCAAAAGCTTTAGTCTGTTGTTAAGGTTATGACTTTGTTCCTTGGCAAAGCAGTGTATCAGCCCTAGGAAATTATTTGTAAGATATTAGACTGTATGCAGTGTGAAGATACAGAGGGAGGATATGCCAGGTTTAAACTGTAGTATGTCTTTAATATGTCTCAAGTGAGGTTAGTTTACTTGCTTTTTTCCCCTGTGTATCTGACAGTGATTAAGCTCTCAGTCTGCTTTGTTTAAGATAAATAACTTGCGTATATCTGTTTCAGCTAATAGGTTGGTGTTAAGTGAAATGCTGTCTCTGTCCATTGCAGACTCTGTATGACAGTGTTTATCTGACACTGTACAACATCTGCTTCACGTCGTTGCCCATTCTAGTGTACAGTTTGTTTGAACAGCTGGTCCATCCACACGTGCTGCAGAACAAACCTGGCCTGTACAGGTAAGTTTAGCATTAACTGTTTGTGGGAAGCTGCATTTTGTCAGCTTTCATATATTTAAAGAAAATGCAATAAATTCATGAAGAAAATAAAAAAAACTTTGCTGTGGTTTACCAAAAGACAGCTACTAGGATTTTTCTGTAACATTTTAAGAAAGATTAAGCGAAAATAGTTTGAGTTTGTTACCATTTACATACTATTTGCTCTATAATTCATTAAACATTTTTGCTTGAATCACCCTGTAAATTACCAGCTATTAACTTATTCATCACAGTGAAACATGACTGTGTGCATAGATACAGTGTATCCTCTAGAGAATTTGAAAAAAAAAAATGTTTGTATTCCACAGGGACATCAGCAAGAACTCTCTGCTGTCTTTCCGAACGTTCCTGTACTGGACTCTGTTGGGCTTCTGTCACGCCTTCGTCTTCTTCTTTGGATCCTACATACTGATGGGAGAAGACACCACACTTATGGGCAATGGACAGGTGTGTACTTGTGTGTGTGCGCGCGCGCGTGTGTGTTTGATGTACTGAATGTTTACCGTGAAATCCCTAGAAAAGAAATTGGCCCGCTGAGTGGATTTCCAAACCATATTAGGAAAATGTCGCTTTAAGAAATAGATGTTATGTTACAAAAAATGTATGCATGTTATGATGAGTTGTTGTTACTAATGGGGCTGGTTTCTGGCTGGTCTTTCTTTCATCAGTCCTTCCCTTAATCTTGCTCTTTTCTTAAGTGTCTCCTCCTCATTCTGTCTTGATGTTTAACAGCCTTTTGTTCGGTCTGTGTGTCTCTATGACTGTGCCGGCATGTGCGTGCGTCATTTACCTGTTGATGAATAAATTGTAGTACTTCTACCTTTTTGTCTTATCGTTGTCTTCAGTGTCTCTGGTTCCTCACCAAGTCTGTTTCCTTCTGCTTTCTCCCCTGCTGCATATCTTTGCCATCTGTTTCTCTGTTTGAATTTTGGTATTTCAGAAAGCACTCAATCTTTTTGCTCTCTCTCGCTTGTCTTTTTCTTCTTTCATTTGTTGATTTCTCCTTTTTCCCTTCTGCCTTCACGCTGTGCATGTCTTCAGATCTTGCGAGCTAACAGGCAGCTGGTAAGAGTCTGCTCTACAGTTGAATGCATGTCTCCTTGGGGGGTAAATGAGAGGACTATCAGGAGGATTCGTAAACATATTTTTGTCCTGCTGTTGTTGATGTAGAAAAAGATGAATTTTCATACCTGTGCTCTGCAGTGTGTTTATATATGTCGATTACATGTGAGTGCTATCCTGTACTATGCTGTAACACAAAACAGCACAGGTTTATTTACCTCTTGAAATGAGCAGTTTGATGGCAGATATAAAACATGCAGTGGCTCATTGATCACTGATGATTCTGGTAAATTGTTCATTTTTGATTCCTTCATTTTCACTTGAAGTTAATTGTGCCTTTAGCTCTCAGTTCCATGTCTCTTGCTTGAGTACAGTATCTGAACCCTCCGGTGAAAAATGCATTAATTCCAATTTCAATTTATTGTCTGTTACACACTTACAGACTGTAACAGAAATGTAAATCCACATAGATTTAACATTACCTATTCATATATCACACAGGCTTCTAATCTATGCCCGTCTTGTGCAGTTATATACAAAAGATTTGTCTCTTAGGCCGGCAGAGAATTTGTTTCCCACTGTGCTGCGTCTGCTAGCTTAATCATCATTTCAGATATTTGTGTTGGAATAACAAGGGTCAGTCAGTACTTTGATTATGATCAACCTGGACAAGTTGCAAGGTTTATCAGAAGTGTCATCAGTCCTGTCACTAATATGTTGAAAGGTGATGATGGTTAAAGAGGCCATAGCTGAAGATGGCCTACTGAAGTAGATCATAAAAAGACAAATGATTTTATCAGCACAGTGGGTCTTCAGAGCAGTGTGTATCAGACTGTTTTTTGAATGTAGGTATAAGTAAACTAGAACTTGAACAATATTTCTGTGAGGAGCCGAGACATTTTGTCTGCCCCTGAATGTTTTTGTGGATACTTGTTTCCCTCACTATTAGTTTTTGAGTGTTCAAACTCCAGCAGGGTCCTGAATTGGCTCACAACAAAACGATCCCCCCCCCCCCCCCAGTTACACAGTCGGAGGGCAAGGCCTCATTATAGGTGTCGTATAACCGCTCAACTTGTTAACTGAGGCCGGGGTCTTTTCTCTCCATTACACAACAGAAGCACAACACTGCTCCTCTTGTCTCACCTGACTCCCAACTTTCCCCCAGAGTTGTGGTTTGACTTGAACAATTTATAATTTCCCAGCAACATAATCAGTAAATATCAAGTAAAGCAACTGTGACTGGTGTTTTTGGCATCCATTATTTATTGCAGTGAAATGCCAAGAAAACGCCAGACTTACATTTGAATAATTTGCAGCTGAGTACTAACGTAATGGTGCTGAGTCAAGGAGGAGTAATGCTGTGTTCATTAGTTCTTTTCTGACAATAGGAAGAAGCAATTAAAGACGATATCAAAGTTACATATAAACAGGTCCACCATACAGTGATCTTACCATATTGTTATATTGTTAGCACCTGGGCTCATGCATGTAAATATAGCCTTTATTTGTCAGTTATATTGTTGTGGTGCTGTTAGCAGCTAAATTAACATTTTAATGTCTGTTTTAAAGATGTTTGGGAACTGGACATTTGGAACGCTGGTCTTTACTGTCATGGTCATCACAGTCACATTAAAGGTAAATTACACCCAATCTTATGATGTAACAACAAAGGAGCCTGCTTAATTTCTTACAATGACATCCATCAGTGTTACTCTATTTCTTGCAACTTTTTAACTCATATTGTGTTTCTTTCATGTCTGATGTTGCTATAATCGTATACTTTCTGTTATATTGAGCTGTAAATATGTATAGTCTTATTCTTATGTAGTGAAAGTGTGACGTTAGTGTAGGCAGTGTTTGGTTTGTGTCATCGCAGCCATTTTAGAAAACTCAATGTAAGATACCTGCTCTGCACAAAACAGCAAGGAAAAATATATTTTGTGAAAAAACTCAAGTATATTGCATGCTGAAGAGCAAGTATTACACACTGGGGTCAGTCAACCAAATTCAGCGTCAAAGCCAATTAAATATTTGCTTCCCATAACAAATTGAGTGAGCTAATTATGTGACATAAATGTATTCTGAGAGTTTGTTTTTGAGACTTTGTGCCCTCTCCCAGTCACAGACGGCTGAATGCAGCTTTAAGAAGAAAGTTACTATGTGTATTAGCTCAGAGCTGTGTAGCATATTCAAGTCCACAGGGACACACATGTATTGCCACAGTCTTGATATGAAATACAGCATGTTGTGAAGTAAGACAGTGATGTCAGTGGCCATTAAGAGAAACGAATTTGTCACAGGTTGAGGTCAAGGTCTCATTCACAGCACAGAGGCAGATTGCTGTGGTTTATTGATGCCCTATGTGTCCCTTTTATCAGTGTTTTACACCTAGCTTTCTTCTCCTCTCCCTCCTGTGTGTGTTTGTGTATGCGTGTAATAACAGCTTGCTTTGGAGACTCATTTCTGGACGTGGATGAACCATTTTGTGACGTGGGGTTCGATTGCCTTCTACTTCATCTTCTCTCTCTTTTATGGAGGCATCATCTGGTAAGAAGAGATCCTTATAAAGGTTATACAGGATGTTGCTTTGGTTTAACATGGTCTCTATGTTTTAACTAATGTGGAGGCCTGTCATAACATCTCTTAAATAATCCCTACATTGGGAAAATGCATAACACAGAATACATTGTAGTGGTTGAATACCGTGACTGTCTTGCAAAAGAAAAACAAAATGAAATTTAAAGTGTAACATTGTCACATTTACATTGTTCCACATCCTTTCATGTTGGTAATAAATGACTACTTTGATAGTTAATGATGGAAAATGGACGTAAGTGTACAATAGAGTACATAATAGGACATACGTCTACTGTGACTGTGACTACTGTGTGTCCTCTGAGCTCATATTTTTTGTGCATGGAGTTCCAAATAACTTAAATTGCCTCAACCAAGAAGACAATATACTAATCTTTATTTTAAATCTGAAGATAAATGGACCAAAAGACTGTTAGCACTTTGAGAGATTGTCATATTCTGTATATTTCACTCTGTATATTGTAATCACATACTTTTGTCTGGCTCTCTGAAGACTTTTCTGCAGACTGCAGTAGAGTGATTTAAGCTCTCCTTTACTTTAGATAATATTCAATATGAAAGGAATATTTTCCCTTCCCTAAAATTCCTGTTGAAAGAGATTTACCTACACTAAGAGAGGTGTACAAATTGTGCACATACTTAGCAGAGAATTAGCCTGACGCTGAGGCTCTAGATGGAACAGGCTACTTACACCAGATTCACTGTTTTTGTCACTTAGTAGATAATCACTGAGGCTTTGTTAGAATGTGCAGTGATTATCCAGGAGTGTGTTTGATTGATCAGATCAGTCTTAACCACTTAACTCAGTCCAGCCAACTCATAGCCTAGTGGGAGCCATCCTGATGATATTGGGCTGTAATTGATATTTGTGGTGTGACATCTGCTCAGATCGTTAATTTCTGTGGTGTCTGGGAATAATTAAATAATTCTAAGAGCGTGACTCCAACTGCCAGTAAAAGCTAAATTTATAGTGATGAGGGCAAAGTGAGACGAGCCAGGCTGCTTATTGATGCTTTCCACTACTAATGAGAAGCATTAAAAAATGGTCTTAAAAATCTTTTTCCTTCTTTTGCAATATGTAATCATTGTGCCCCTTGCACTCCCCTCTAGGCCGTTCCTCCACACCCAGGACATGTACTTTGTATTCGTACAGCTGCTGTCCAGCGGTTCTGCGTGGTTCGCCATCATCATTATCGTTATAACTTGCCTCTTTCCTGATGTGTTGAAGAAGGTCTTCTACCGGCACCTGCAGCCCACCAGCACACAGAAGAGTCAGGTAACATGGGGAGGAGGGGCAGAAAGTAAAAAGACTTTTACCTTTTGTCGTCTGGGAACCTTTGTAAAGAAGCCCAGCCACTCCTGTCAAGTGGATTACACTTAGTACAAAGCAGAGGTTTTATTTCAAATTGGCTGGGATTTAAAGAGGCTCATCCAGCATTTTTCTGTTTATTTCCCAGAGGTTTCACATGCCCAGCACCCTGCTGGCCTGACTCCAAGAAATCACTCTTTGTCACAGCAGTTCTGAACTCACTGTTTCAATAGTTTTTAAGTAAAAAACTTTTCTGTATTTCTCCAAGGCATCCACTCTGCCATAGCTACTCTGGAAACGACAGATGTTTTGTTCTGCACCCCAGTTATCTTTGCATGTCTCTACTGTAAATAGTTTAGAGTTGGTAATCTTGAATGTGTGAGTAGACTGTAACTTCCATTGTTTTAGATAAACTGCGATTTAGTGTCTGAAGCCAAGATTACATCCTTTTTGTTGAGATTAAATCATGATTCAAAGAAGGCTGAAAGAAGTCTGACAGAGTATAAGATCAGGTATGGAGAACAAACTTTCTGCATAATCTCATAAAGAAATTAATCATTTGACAAATGTTCCAGTGAAATCAAAAAGTATATTTATTTAAATCAGTGGAACTGATTGGATATTAACTAGTTCATTACCACAACTGTAAGCTAATCATGCCAATTGTTTTAGGTGAACAGTGCTAAAAGGCATTTTCTGTCATTTTTAAAAGTATTGAAATGGCACAGGGAAGGCCAGACACATCCCAGTAGTTAAACTGTCTGGCAGTGAGAGATTTAATACTTCTACTTGTATCACAATAATGGAAATAATATTTCCTGTGATGAGAGCCTGGAGGAAGAAAATAAAGTAAAATGTCAAGGTAACTAAAATTCTAGACTCAGACAGAAAATGTTGTGTTTGTGTCCCATTGTTTAAACAGTTTATTATTTTCTCAGCCTCTGTGGTTATGAGTTACTGACTTCTTTACATGAACAGCATGGTGTTCGGTTGCACACACACACATACACTACATTACTTTCTCATCCAGTACACACAGTGTAGATAAACACACAGTGCACATGGTCACCTCTCAGCAGACCCACGCTGTGTTTGTATTGATTCGTCCAGCTGGAGAATGTTTAGGTTCTAGCTTATTTCTTCTTCCTTTCAAAACACTGTGGAAGCCCATTTCTGCCAATACAATAACAAAGATCCTGTGAGTCATTATAATAACAAATGTTCTCAAAATAATCACCTAGTTTCTCAAAATACTGAATTATAATCATAGAATAATGACTTAGTATTGCAAAATGATGAGCTAGTATCCTAAAATGTGTTAGTATCTCTATTTTAGGGCTATTGCAGTGAAGGCATTTCCCCTGCAGTGATTATGTGTTGCTCAATTGGTCAATATGAGGTATTACCACCATTTTCTGTTGTTTTTTTGTGACTTTATCTTGTTTTTAGTGCTTTGTTAATAAGCTTTATTATCAAGCTATTATTAGGTATATTGTTGCTTTCTAATGACAAAGATGACACAGTTTTTAAACACATCAAATACTTGTTCATTGTTAAATGCAGAGCACAGGAGGGCAATGAGACACAGTTGCGTTTTTTCAGCTGAGACACTTTCGCTGCATCTGTTGTTATGATTTTGTGGAAGTAAAAATGTTGGCATGGCAGAGAACCTACTTGCTTTGGATGAAGGGAAGGTCGAAGCACGTAGGGAGAGGAGCTACCTGCCGGTCTCTGTAGGTTCAGCATTAATTTCTCCTTCATTGTTGTTGTTCAGCAATGTCACAATTTGTCTTTGTGGTATTTGTCCACCCCTCCTTCACTGTCATTGGACAACTGGGTAAAAAGAGACAGTGACGAGCAGCTGCAGCATTTTACCCAAAGCTGAATATTTTGCAGCTCTTGACAGTCAGAGAAAAAATTGCAGATGTGCAGCACTCAGCACAGAAAAGACGCTCAATGCCTCATCATGCTGCTGGGATTTGTAGCGTATTGTAAATTAGGCTTGGGAGGTATCTTGTTTTGTCATACCTTATATTACTGTGGTATACAGTATATGACAGTAATGAAAATTGCACCATTAAGATTTTTAAATACCCTAGTACACTCTAATACTGTGATACTGCCCAAACCAAGTGTAAGTACATAGCGCTCCCATGAAAAAACGAAAAAACATGAACATAGCAGTACTGGCAGTTGCTTGCCTTTATCTTTAGTTGGCTTGTCATTAGCGCAGTGTTATAACATTGCAGTTACCTGAACAGTCAGAAGAACGTTCTCAAAATGACTTAACTTATCTCCAAATAATGACTTATTATTTTTAGGATACTAAGTCATTATTTGAGTAAAGTTTTTCATTTTATTGACCTACAGGATCTTTTTCTATTTTTTGTCATCATATTGACAGAAATGGGCTTTCATAAAACTCTCATCTTGTTTGAAAAAAATAACTGCCTTTCCAATCCTACCTGGTGTTTGTTGCTTCTGCTAACCTATGTCTTGTTTTGTCTTTGTGTGTATGTGTGTGTGATTCTGAAAGTGGGTACAGTATAAATTGTGTGTGTGTATGAGAGCTTGACATCTAACCTGTTTGAGTGTGTGTGTGTGTGTGTGTGTGTGTGTGTGTGTGTTCTTCCTCCTATCCTCTCTGTGTATTCTCCTGGCGTAGATGTATTCCAACCGTGTGGCGATAGGTGATGACTTCATCGCTCTGCAGCCTCTGTCCAGAGCCAAGAGCCAGCTGGGCAAAATTAGGTAGAGGAGATGAGACGGATTCAGCCCTGGGTTTAAAATACATCTCAGAATCAATTCAAATAAAATAAGTATCCCAGGAGTGCCTTATTCAAAAGCAATATTTCTATAGTAGTAGTTTTTTGGATGCATCTGCGTATTTTTGTGAATAGTCAGCAATCGTTAAATGGTTTGTCCTGTTTCCCTGTGCAGATACTGCTCCTTCTAAATTTAATTTCACTTCCAGTAGTGTAAATATACATACCTGAAATATTTTAGCACTTTAGAAACCACGACAAGGTCTGTTTTATTTTTTTTTTTTTTTTTTTTTTGCAACATTGTGCAAAAGTCTTTGAGTATGTGACATTAAGGTGTTAAAGTGTATAAAATCAGTGACTAGAAGTTATAAGCCATATATAACTTAAATAATGTCCCCTGACAACTATTTGGTGTCCTTCCTAATATACCTATAATGCAGATTTCACTGGTCAAACATATACTGGCTTTAAAAAGTTTATGTCAGATAGTATTCAGAGTCTTAAACATATTAATCTTTCTAAAGCATTTAATTGTAGATCAGAGACGCAGAGATTAAGATGCATTTCAAAATCAAATGTTAAAGTCTCATTTGTAGTAGTCTGAGTGGGTGGAAGTTTGCTGCAGAGATCAGCCTCTCATTGGGCGGAACGAGCCACCCACTGAAGTCCCGCCCTACCACCTCCGGTTGTGTAGCAGTTCTCAACCGTTTTCAACACGTCCTTTACTAACTTTTGCGGTGTTTGATCTTGCGGGGATGTAGCCATTTTTCTGCCATGGTTCGCGTCCTGTGGGTGATATTTTTGTGGGCCTGTTACACCAAAACCTGTTTCCCCCCGGCAATATTTTTGTAAGCGCACCATTGCTGTGGCACCGCCCAGAACGATTGTGATTGGTTGAAAGAAGTACAAGCAGCTGGGGCGTTTTTTTCTCCAATCTCAAAGTGAGAGTCGGCCCAGCCAGACTTTTCTTTTCTTGAGAAAGGTCTGGTGAACGAGACTACATTTGTAGCACAACATGGACAGCCTCTAAAAAGTAGAAACATTGCTTTATGAAACAAGCGCTCCTGTTTATGATCGTTTCGACAGTACTGAAATGTACTTTCTCCCAGGTCTGGACTTGATTTAGTCCCACTGAGGCCTGTTTCTACCACTGGCAGCACACTGACTGCAGAGACGTGTGCTGTTACTGTTGGAACAGTTTCTTTTCTGTTATATCTGTGACTGCATGTCCTTGACAAGCCAATCAGCATTCTCCGTGATTGGGATAGGGGTGGGGGGAAATTATATATTTTGGGGCCTCGTGGCATAAGACATAATGCGAAAGAATGTTTCATCAAGCATTTCAGCTGCTGCATGTGTTGCATTTCAGTGAGGGGCTAACATAGAGAATGTGTTCTGAGACATCCACCTCTCCTGCCTGTTCCAGCATGATACTGTCATTACACCCCCCTCCCACTGCATGAACAAACAGATGAATGAATGAGTGAGTGAATGAGTGACTTAGTTCTTACTCTTCCCCCGACACTTTTTATAGTGTGATTGTAATGTTGCTATACAAGGGTTATTTAGGGCCCTGAGCTGTTCTGACTGTGGCGTCCTGCATCTGCATTAGTCCCAAATCTGCGCACCTGGTCAGACCCGCCTCCTGACCATCAGCTAGTGGTCTTGTCATACAACCGCAGTCTGGCATGCCACACTCATGTTAAAGTGATGCATCATACAGTCGCATGGTGCAGCCCATCCACCCAACCACCCCCTTTTATCTATAGCATGGTCTGTACTCTTGACTTATGCCCAGTCAAGCCCTGTCAAACTGGGTTCACCGCTCTGAGACACCCTCTTCACCTCAGAGTTCAGTCTTCCAGCATGGTTTCAGCAGACCCACAGCACAAGACTGATGCCCCACCACAGCTGCATGACAGACTCTTGGACTGGTCTGGGCTGCCTTATACAGCAGCATGATGCTGTCCTGGTAGAAGCATGACCGACAGCTCTGTTATTATCACAGCTGATGACTTGACAATCTTGTGCTGTCATAGAGGATATCGTTAAAAACAGGCTGCAAGGGAAATGCCAGCCATAGTGTGAACTCTCTTCAGTGAAGGGAATGACCAAAAGCCAAAAATAATTCTTGATCTTGGAAAGCTCTGTCTCAATTAAAGTTTTAATTTTGCTTATATCTAGCTGTCCAAGATCAAATTAAATATTTAATTATATGTGTGGGTTTTAGACTGCTGATCAGATAACACAAGCTATTTTCTGACATTTTAGAGACCAAGCAATTAATCAAGAAAATAATCTGCACATTAATTAAGAACAGAATAGTCGTTAGTTGCAGCCCTCGTGTGGTTTTTGAGGCTAATGTCGTAGCATGCATATCTTTGTCTTTGCAGCTGTATGGCATGTTAACTCTGATGGTTCTGTAACACTTGCTGGGAAATGCTACTCTATAGTTATACAAATAATAGCCTATATTTTATTGTTATAGCTCTTTACATTACACTTAGTTGCCAGTACACACACATTGCAATACTAATGCAGTCTAATACAATAGTCCTCCAATAAACCCTACCTTCACAAAGGTCTTAATGCTCTTTTTTAAACTGTCTCAGAGAGGTGTTGATTCAGCTTGTACATTATTTTGGAGGCTGTAGTTTGTGGTGCTGTTGAACTGTATTTCCAATATTTTGTTGCCTTTGTAAAGGTAGGAGTACTTGAAGTAGTGGCAGCGAGGGGATTCTAAAAAACTGGCAACTGAGTGTATGTTGCAAGTCACTAACAAAACAGCCAATGCAGGTCCCATCCCACAAACTCAATGAGGAGAAACAAACTGTAGACTGACTGATTGTAAGTGTTGTGTGCATTACGGTAATAGCAGGCACAAAAAGCGCATTATGCAAAAAGAGATCCTCAGTTTGAGTAATATGCTTGTTGGATTGGTAGAACTACTCAAGATGCTCTTACTGGGTTTAAAATCAAAGCGTGATTTCATGTCTATGTGCTGTATAATGCAGTTTATTCAGTTCTGTCAAATGAGTCCCAGTATCTATCAGTCTTTTCTTTTTTCTTAATTAGATTAGAGGAAGGTAATCGCCAAAGAACCCAGAGGGCTCTCCTGGGTTTTACGTTGTTTGCCTGCTCTGTAGCTCTGATAGATTCAGCAGCAGGTTAATTGGTTCAGATACTAATAGATTTGCTCTTATCTGCACTAGAAGGATGCGTTCCCTCCGAGACATCTTTCCTATGCCTGCAGCTTCTTTCTGTGTTCACTTGTCGCTGCTTTTGTGAGGAATTAAAGCCCTCCTCCGGTGACCTCATCACCCCCGCTCATATTTTCTGACAGAGTTCTTCTCAAGCAGTGATTTATGATTATCTCACAGTGCCAATTAAGGTGAGGCTCAGGTCTGTGGCAGGGGAATAAAACCCAGGATGCAGACCGGTGTCTTGTTTGAAACAGCAGAAAGCAGCGGTTCTTATTTGCCTTGTAAGCTAAAAATTTGCTCTCAACTCTGTTGCTATGTTGAAGATTGTTGGTGAGGTCACTGGTGAAGGGCTTTAAAAAGGGGACCAGCATTGATTAGGTCTCCGTATACTGTATGTATACAGGTATTAGAGTGCACTGTAAGGTGAGGGTCAGAATGTAATTAACTGGCCCCCTACAGTGCAGTCTGGACTGACTTGCTGACTGACTGACCGCTTGCTTACTAACAGACTGATTAATCTGCTGGTTGTAATTAAGAAGCACTGAAAAACATATCCACTGTATCTGCAGTCATTTAGTCTTGTATTGAGTCCATAGATTTACAAACCAAAATGTAAAAAAAAAACAAAACACATTTTAAGAATCAAATAAGATTTTCTTTTATACTAGGGTCTAGGGCTGCACAATTAATCAAGTATTCATCTTTATTTTGATTTTTGGCTTTCCACAACCCAGAACCCTGTCCAGAACCTCGCTACATATCAAATCAAGCACTTCCTAAAATAATAGTCAGCCTCCAGTTTTAAAGAGCTGTCATGCCACTACGTGCAAACCTTGCATGAGTAACCTTTGAAAAACCTTCCTGGACATCATGGCTGTACAGAGTAGAAGAGTGATGTACAATGGAAACAAGACAGGCAAAATGAAACCCAAAGTTCTGGAGCAGAAGGTGAAAAGCTAGTCCCTCTATATGGATCCATTGTAACCTACATATTTTGGATTTAGAGTGAATGAGACTTGTGTCTGTGCTACAGAGCAACAAAACTTGTTCAACCACCTAAAAAAACCCCACAAACTGCAGTATGATTTGCATCCCAGTACTGTACAGCATCAGCTTTGACATCCATGCACAGCGCATCGCTGTATCCATCTGGCTCCCAAAGATGGACTGAAATAACCAATGCAATTGCATTTTATTGGCCAAAGACATAAGTCCACTAAAGATTTTTATTTATACTGTGCTTCTACGAGATGCACTGAATACAGATTAAGAACAACCTTATTTTAAGTCTTATTTTGATTCAAAGAATTGTACATTAGCAAGAATGTAGCACAACATCAAAGTTATAGCAGGACTCTGATTATTTGAACTTTAAAGTGCAATAAAAAAATTTTGTCCCTAAAATCATTGTATAATTGTCACAAATTATCATGATTCTAACTGATCAAAATAATCGTCATTATCATGTTAGCCATTATCATGTTTGCCATTATCATGTTTGCCATTATCATGTTTGCCATTATCGTGCAGCCCTACTACTGGGTTTTCAAAATATGTACTTATTTTCAAAAGAAATCCTAAATGAAAAAAAGGAAACTTTTCGCATTGCCTCAGCTGACTTACAGTAAGACTTAACATGAGACAAAATCACTGCTGTGGATATGTCTGCAGTGTGATTGGATATTTAAAAGGCTTGCTTTACTGGTTATGTTGCTGTGTCGATGTCTGACCTACCAACAGTCTACCTGGCTGACTGATGAGCTGTTTGACTAGCCAGCGGGGCTCACTGTAAGCATCTTGTGTCCTTCAGATGGAAGAGGGTGAGGGTTCAGTCGGCCCAGAATATGACCCTGTTAAAGCCCAGCGGAGCCCAGGGGAGGACAATTGGCACCTGCTAGCTGCTTATCCTCCCCCTGCTGCCCCCGGCCCAGACCCCTGCTCCCCTAGGTAGTACCATAACTTCACTCCCATTGTCCCTCCTCGTACTGTCACTGCCCCAGCATTATGGCTTCACCTGAGGACCAACCAACCCTCTGCACCTCCCTCAAAGCTGCAGCCAACCACATATGTCCTTATATTTGGTTAAAACCTACCTGCACCTTTAGTCATTCACTCATGGCTGTATGTCACAGCTGCCCCTGCACTGCACTTTTATTTCAAAAATACTATACCTGTATGTCTCTGTCGGTCTCACTTCCTGTTTGAATGACCCCATCCTATCCCACCCAGTCACAATCAACTCCATGTATCCCTACTCTTCCTTTAATACCCTCATCCTTCTCTACACAGATATGACCCCATAGTCCCTCACCCAACCATTATTGTCCCCATCCTTTCCTGGTCTTACTTCATCCCTCGCTGTTGTTAAACAGATCTGGGATCAGAGTTTAGAGAGAGAGAATGCTGTTGGCATGCTGACTTTCATTGTCTTTGCTGTATTTGTTGAACCATCTAATCCCATCACAATAATACTTCATATTGAAGCCTGAATGATGTATCATTGTCTATTTGTAAGTATTTGATATCTCATATAATCCCCTTTTTGTTAAAAGTACAGTTTTTATATTATTTTCTCTTCTGTTCTATAATTTAAGACTTTCAGTGTGTTGCTTCCTCTGCATACAGAGTGTGTTTTGTGAGCATATATCATACTTAAAAAACCCAAGATTATTACATTTTCCTAGGCAGACAGTCACCAAAATGATCTTGGCAAAAATACGCTGCTGTCTTAGTGGGTTGAACCAACATAATGTGTTAAATAAAAGGACAGGGAACATGAACTTTAGCTGAACTCTATAGCTGATATAGCAAATCAGCCAGAGGATGATGTCACCCATATAGCTGTCACTGAGGCCTTGGTCATTTTACGACAAAACCTTCAACTTAGGCATCGTTTTCTTGGAAAACCTCAGTTTTCAAGAGAGCTATTAATCGTAAGGTTTGGCCTGGTTTCACTCCAGGCTTTATATTGCTGCTGCTTCTCTAGAACTAAAAAAATTACCTGCACCAAAGTTTCTCAGACACATGCTTCTTTCTTGTTCATCTCTTGTAAACAGCACAGGGGAGCAAGTTTTACTGTAACACGACTGCCACTGAGAACTGCAGTATCTCAGCTGCCATTGCTTCTGATTTACAAGCCTTGTGATGACTGATTGCTTCTTCACAGATTGATTCGATTGGTAGATTAATGCACGCTAAATCAGTCATCTTAGAGTTAATGAAAAGCTGACTGTTTATCACCTACGTGGTCTTACCAACAAAGATTGGCCAAGGACACTACACTAACAGATAAACACCAGTCTAGGATACATAACCACCCACGGTTACAGCTGTGGTTTGGCTGCTGCAACTGCTTTTACTGTGGTTTGGACTGTATGTGTGTTTGGAATAATCATATTCTACAACTTCTCTTCCTTGCTTAAATGGTGACTGTTGTGTTACTGCAACAAGAGCCAATCTGTGTCCCTTTTCTCAAAAGGGGAAAAAGCAACATCTTCTCAAGGAGGAGGAACAAAACCACAGATCTGTTATCCAGGGGACACCTGATCTTGCCAGAATAAATCACGGTGTTCTGTCTGTGTTTTGCTGTTGCCAGCCAAGAAGCAGAAGTTTGGTTTCATGCCAACAGTTTCTCCGATTTCTGCTGCAGAGAAATGTAACAGCGGCAACAACTCAATCCAAAACACTGTGGATACACAGGTCACACATTTAGCTACAAAATAGGACACATTTGGGATATATCACAGGTGCCAAAAAATGATAAAGCGTACTACAAAGGTTATTTTTTCAAAATACCTTGACTGGCTGATTATAGCAGTAACAAGCATTTTTAGTGTTCATTTAGCTTTTCATATGATAAAAGAAACTGTTAAAACAGAGAATAGTTGAAAAGTTGCTGTGCCCCAGAGGTATTTTTAATTCTAAGAATAATCTACACAAACCTTTTAATTAACAATAACAAAAAGTACAAATTGAAGCTCATTTATAGACTTATGATTATGTTGTCTTGTTATGCTGTGGAAAAGGAACATACAGAATACAAACTTACATGAATGTAACCTCACACTGTGTTTGTTTCCTCTTTGTCTCTCTGCTCCTCACTTTCTCTCTTCTCTGTCACACACACTGTCTCTCTTTCTCTCGGGTGCTGACTCAGATTAACAGAGCCACCTGACCCTGCAGGTTTCCAGGCAGCAACTTCATTCAGCTTTGTCTACTAATGCATCACTGGCTCATTGAAGAGTCTGATTAGTCATTAAATATATTTTCAGTATTATTATTTAGACAGTGACTATGTTTTTATGCACAAAATGTTTTCCAGTTTTTACCCTTTTTCAGAAAAAGACGATATTCCTACTAAGCTGTTTATTCGCTAATAAAATTAACATTTCATTAATATTCCTGTTCACATACAGCCACAGATACTCTCAGCTGTGTTTCACAGGAGTCAGTGCCCTAACATGTCGTCTGTCATGTCAAAATATACAAAAGTGGAGCAGCTAGAGCCACTTGTGCCATTTTGGTTCTCTGCCACAAGATATTATTTTTTTATAAGTTTTCCACGGGTGGTGGACTTGCAACCCTGCAAACACAGCCTCCCTCTTTTATTCCTTGAGCATGCATCTCTACCCCAGCCTCAGAAACTGTTGGCTTGTTGGTTTTTGTACAATGCACAAATCTGACCGAAAAACAGGCATGAGGTCATGTGTTGCAGACTGATGTAAAACCCCCAGCCGAGATGCATATTCCAAATGTGCTGTAAACATGTCCAAAAAAAATTATCCTAACACCTTAATAATAGGGGCATATCACATCTGTCTTAATTGGAAAATGCTACATTTGAAATGAGGCCTAACTCGGAATATCCAAACAAAATATGCTGTTTATGTGACCTGTGTCCAATTTGTGATATTGTCATATTTTGATTAATAGTGGAATATTAGACAGGGAGAGGTTTCTGTGCAGTGAATGTCAACTTCTACATTAGTTTTTACTGGTTTTCACATCTATAAAAGGAAAAAGCTTAAGATGGATGCTAACACTGTCTCGTTTCAAATCATGCACATTCATCATATGATAGTGTTGGAGCCTTTAGTACTTATTTAAAACCAGAAGTAGGCTGGCTATCCCAGATGTTTGCCTACTATTAGAAACCTAGAAGAAAGACATTACAGTAAACTTTGCATTTGGAAAACATATAATCCTGATCCTGGTTTCAAGTTTCCCTTCTTTGGAAATGAGTAGTTGTCTAGTTCTTCACACTGATGTGATTTCCAAACAAAGACGGAGAGTTAATCTACATGACAACCATTCTAAAATACACCGCAAATAATCTTGATTTGACATTATGATCGTTTCTGTTTGTTTTCTTAAAGATTTCTTTGTTTACAGGTTTTATCATTTACATATTTATTTGCAACATTTCAGCCCCATGTGTAGCATGTTTTAAATGTTTTCCCAGTTCATCATTCTTCGTGTGACAGCATGCAATATGTCATCCTCCAGTCATCCATCATCCTGTCAGAATGTGACATTGAACCTGTGTTATATCGGTACTAATTTCCTCTCTTTTCTCCTCTTTGTCCACTGGCGTCTCTCTCTTTCCCTCTCATCTGCTTTTTCCTTTGTCCTCTGTTCTTTTTACTCCTCTGTCATGCTACCAACTTCTCACATCACCCTTTCCTTCTCCTGCTATCTCTCTTCCCTCCAGTCTCTATCAGCCTCCCAGGCGCAGGCCCTCAGCTGTGTGGAGTCCTTGTGCTGCTACCAACATGGGCAGAGCGGCTGTTCCCGCTTGGCCCGCCTCCTGGAGCAAATGACCGGGCAGTGCCAGGCCAGCGCCAACCATTGCCACACATCCAGCCGCAGCAACAGGTGGGGCGGACGACAACAAGAAACAATGATTATGAACCCAGATGAACCGGCACCACCTCTTGGTGTCAAAAATTTGGGCAGTCCTGACTGTTTTAGCCCCTAATGTGGCTACAACTCTACTGTAAGTCTTTCTTGTTCAGATCCATTGCAGGTTGGGTGTACAGTCGTTGGGGAGCAGGGCTTTAGACGGTCACTTTTTTTTAGGGTGCAGCTTATCATGACTCTGGGACAAGAACCAAACGAGGAGTTAGATACTGAAGGTGTGTGGATCAAGCCATCATGGACTGCACTGTTATGAGTTTCTTATTTCCATCAAAGTCCGTGTTGTGTCTGGGGTTTGAACATTTTGATTAAGCAGGCAGAAAGATGTGCTTAATCTCATGTCCACATTAGTGTACTATCGGATATATATATCTGTACACCTTGTAACCAAATCATAGAGACCAATGAGTGAATGGGTTGTGAGGGCCAATGGCCTCTACAAAGCATGCACATGTGGATGTTTTGCAGTCTAGCCAGGGAGAATTTGGATTCCAGTATTTTTATTAAGGCCCATACAATTGAGACCTGTTGTGATATACAGGCACCCAACAGGTCTCAGTATTACACATGTAACCTGTCTTGTCTATGTCGCCCTTACATTAGGGCGGGTCTGTCTATTAGCCCATTTGTCTGTGTCCTAATTATCTATGCTATTATCTGTGGTTCTGTCTGTCCTGTCTCTCTCCTGTTTCTGTTCACATCCCCTGAAAATCAAAGGTTGGTGTCAAATTAAGCCTGATCAGCCAGTTTTCAAGGAAAACTGACCAATATGTAATGCACTTTAACAGATGACACTGATGTCTATATGTCAGTGACTAAGTTGACTTGTTAGCTTTAGGTTGACTCCTATATTGTCTTGTAGTTCCACTTGTTCATTGGAGGCCTTCTCCACTTGAGATGATAATGGCTTGTTGGTTGAACAGTGTATGATACAAACACCAACTTTGGGTGTGCACATTATTAGTATTAAAGAACAGTTCAGCGCAAAATCAAAAATACATATTTTTCCTCTTACCTGTAGTGCTGTTTATTAATAGAGATTTCTTTGGTGTGAGTTGCAGAGTGTTGGAGTTATTTGCCGTAGAGATGTCTGCCATCTCTTAAGTATAATGGAGCTAGATGACACTTGGCTTGTGGTGCTTAAAGCACCAAAACAAATACATTTGAAAAAGTCTACAGTAATGTCTCTTTGCAGAAAGCATGACCTGGTTGCTCATGATAATCTACAGACCTTGAAGCAAGTAGTTTTATGTTTCATGTTTATGCTCACCACAAGCCGAGTGCCATCTAGTTCCATTATATCTGAGAGAAGGCAGATATCTCTACATCCAACATTTCCAACATTCAGCAACTCACACATTAGCACCACAGGTCAGAGTAGGAATATGTATTTTTGATTTCTGGGTGAACTGTCCCTTTAACCTATGATTGAAGAGACGTGGAAGTGCTTCATAAGTGACAGGTTTGGCGACTTAGCTTTCAAGCTGCATTTTGCAATCTTGCATTTAGCCCTAAAGAGCAGAATGGGGTAACAATTATGAAACATGATGTCAGTGAGCTCTCAGTAAGTGCAGATACAACTTTGTTCTCTGCTGTAGCTCCACTTTGCGATAAAGGATGATAAAACACCAATAACTTGATTTTTTTTTTCTTTTTTTTTTGTGGGGGGTTCATGAGAAGTTTTTGCCTAGTGCAGCTTAAAAGATGAGTAAGCTGAGTTCACAGTTTGCTGGGTTGTCCAATCTGCAGTTTCAGTGTTATTGTGTCTTTTTGCCTGAATCCCAGCAACTCAGTGGGGTCATTGATTAATTGACCTGATTGGCCCTTTCTGCTGAGCAGTCAATACTCCCCAAACCAGCTTGGGACTCTCAGTATTGATTACATCAGTAATGAAGATGTAGCATTCTTGTTGTTCGTGTGTGAGTCTTTTGCAGTGGACTTTGCACAGAGGCACGCATGTTTGTTCGTTCATGACTGTGCGTGTGTGTGATTGTAAAGGTAATGACAGCATGCAGGTCAAACAAAGGGATGCAGTGTTCCTCCCTTCAGCCCCTCTGGACAGCAACCTGCAGACTCTCTGTAGTCGAGTAGAGGACTGTGACATCCCAGTCAGTCAGGCCTATGGGGATACAGCGAGCAATCTCATTGTAGAGACATAAAATTGTGACAGGCTGTAACAAAATCTCATTGTAACTGATTTTATTCTGTGCCAGGCCGGTCTGCAAATAATTAACATTTGTGGCATATTTTAAACTTTGATTCACCCAGTCAGGAGCATAAAATGGGTCCTACATCTTGATATTTATACCCTTCATTATTCCTCAGACTGCGGTAGATGGGATATGCTTCATAAAATAATAAATTTCATTTGTTGTCAGGGTCACTTCACTGAAAGAAAGGAAAGTATTCTGATCACTTCAGGGTCAAATCACCACTAAATGCATTGTTCAATTTAGATGAGTTTCTTCCTGTTGGAATGATTGATTTGTTTTCTAACCTTGGCACGAAGCAGCCAATTGAATTCATCCAACTGAGCAAACAGCAGCCAATTTATACTCCCACAAGGATAAATATAAACAATGAATATAAATAAAAATGCTCTGTGTGCTTTATTTTAAATTGAAAAAGGACACAATCAATTTATAGAAATGGGGCTTTATATGAAGGTTTGTTTTTATCCCTCATTTCCTTCCCTTAGTATCATCTCCTTTCCTTCTCTCCTCACCCTCCTCTCACCCCTCTCAACCTTATTGCCCCTGGTTTACTTTCCACATACCTTCGTTTGTCCCTCTCCTCTTTTTTCTTAACATTGTGGGTTTGAGGAAATAAAGCATAAACCCATAAAGAACAAATGAAAGACTAGTGAGACTCGGCCCCTATTTAGCCTTAATGCTAGGATACTGCCATAGGGGAAAGGGAATGTATTCACCCAGTCCTATATAACGTACGTAATGACTGGAAGGGACATATAGCAAGCATATTTACAAACTTATATGGTGCATAAAGTATTTATCTGTTATATAGTGGAGGCCCAACCATAGCTGGCTGCTTGTCTTGACCTGTTGTTGCAGCGCTAAAATCTGGTCACAGCTGAATCATGGCTAGGGGCGACAAAGCAGGAAGGGCCTCGGATGCCAAGAGTCAAAGATGTTTTTTAGTAATAATTGAGCTACATACCCGTCTGAAGTTGTCAAATCCTGACAGCTGCGTCTCCATCCAAATGTCAAACAAATTTTACTCAGACCTGATACATGTGGGGGAAAAAAATAGTCCTGATAAAACAGACAATTTGATAAAGGTTTGTTTAACAGGATACTTAAGCCCCCAAATGATCATTTGTAGATTAATGTCTCACCCCGTGTTACATGGAATTTGTGTAATGGACTTTGAGAAGACTCACATGCTTGCACGGTGAACAAGGAATCCAAAAACTGAGAAAATTCCAATAAATTTAAGTCATAGGGGTCAATGTTTAACATCAGCAAAAATACATCTAAACATCTGTTTACAGACTCTCACACAACTCCTGCAGTATGTCTTCTGCTGCCTCAATCAGTTTGTCTGTGTTATTGTTTGACTGAATCTGAAGTAAGCCCTTTGAAACACCAAAATCGAACAATAACACAAAGGGTTCTAGTTTCGCAGACCGGGCGAGACGGGGGCACAGCACACCTGCGCTTCGCCAACTAGGTGTGGCCAGGCGGATTTTGCAAGTTTGGCACACCATGCGCCTGGCGCAGCTACTCCTCTTTCCCACCTCCATCCCTCCTACCTGCGCAAGTCGGAAAGAGGGAGGAGAGAAGGCGTGGAGTGGGTTTTACACACATCACACCAATCAAATGAGCCCCTCTCCTCGCTCTTAAATGCGCCGCGCGAAGGTGTAATGAGAGTTTACTCAATTCGCCATGGCAGAAGAGAGCAGCAGCGTCAGACGGCCAAACTTCTCCCAGGAGGAAACTAATGTTTTGGTCTGGGAGGTCCAAGCTGGCAGTGTCCGAATATACGGAACTGCGAGCAGACCTCCACGGGCTGATGATGCAAAGGTAGCCTGGGAGGAGGTCACCACAATTGTAAATCAATGTTGCATTTCTCTGGTGCGTGCGTGCTCTCTCCTTCTCTCTCGCAGTCTCACTCTGTTTCTTTTCTTTTGACTTTTCTAAGATGACAGATCCTGAATATATACTCCCTATCTGATGCTGTGGCTGTTTGTGGTTGGCTGAGAGCAGCTGTGTTAATCAAATCAGGTTGGGTTTCCATTACGCGTGCTAAACGGTGCCAGTCCCCTTTGATCTGACATCAGATGTGACGGGACAGTCGATATAGAGATACATTTATGTGCTGATTGCAGATAGTTGCATTGAATAGTGTTTTTTTGGGTATTTATTACATTGTTAATGTGCCTGATATTCTGGAAACCTGCCTGTGAGGTTTTGGTGACGTGTGCGCACTGTCCGCCGGTCAGCCAAACTTCAGCTTACACCGGCTGCGCTCCCCCTGCGCTGACAGTAGACCTGGTTTCAGCTGGCGAGCTTGTAGCGCACCTTCGGCGAAGCCTTTTGGCACGAAACTGTCACTGCGCCAAGCTGGATCTGTCGACACCTCCCCCTGCTGCACCGCCACACCCATCTCAGTGCACCTCGGTCTGCCAAACTACCAAACTGAGCACGCCTCAGGTTGCACTGCTCGAAACTAGCTCTGCGCGGGGTTCGCCACCCTGCGCTGCGCCGGGAAACTAGGGTAACTAACTGATTAAGGCAGTGTAAGAGACCGCACACTTTTTTTGCACCATCTAATTCATTGTTTTCAATGTAGATGTCCGGCAGACGTGCTAAAATGCCAGAGCAACACCGTCGGGGCGCACACTCATTCCCTAGCATCCTTTTTTCAGAGCGCAACAGCTGTGCCCTGAGATAAATTCAACTTTTGGAACGCAGCAACGCACACCGCATGTCATGTGACGAGGAACAACCAATCACAGCCAACAAATATCTTTCTCTTCTTCTGTAAATATCAGTTGTGATAAATATGGAAGAGTGCAGGGCTACCGCAGCTTTTCATCTGTCCCACGGACGATATGGCCACACACCTATAGCTGAATAAGATCAGCTCTGCACTCAGGATTTCAGGTAAATAGGCGTTAATACAGTGCTTGTTAAAGTAGCTTAGCAACCTGTCACTGTGCAGTTGAAAGCTGGCATAAAAAAGGCACAGAAGTAGCACCAAAGACGGTGTAGTAATCCAGTATCTTTGGTAGCACCCAGCGCCCGACCTTGCATACAGGCCCTTAGACCAGCAGCTCCTCTGCTCAGCAAGGTAAAATTATTTTTATGTCAGTGACATTTGGCTTTAAAGACAATATAGGTTTCACTTTTAGTTCAGTTCCCCATCAGAAAGGGCTGTTTGTGTGGGAAGTACCATGCACATAGTGAAACAAATATAAAAAATGCACATCCTCCAAATCAACTTATTTCAATAGGTGCTGACATCAAAGGGAAAACGTAAGAAATCAGGATTTGTCGTGCTTTATTCCCACACCAAACAAATAAGCTTATTTGTTTGGTGTGGGAATAAAGCACGGGAGCAACAATACTTCGTGTGCGACAAATCCTGATTTCTCAAGTACCATGCACATAACCAGATAAATGAGACGTGGATTATACTGCACAGCTTGTGTGAGGGTTAGGGGTTAGTTATGTTTGATTGATTATGTTTTGATATATTTTTCCTGTTGTTAAATGCAGTCGCCTACAGCTTTAATTCATCAATTGTCTCAGTTTTTGGATACTTCATTCATCATGGAAGCATGCAAGAAAAAAGTTCTCTGCACATATCAAAGGTAACAGGGTGAGTAAGTAATATGCAAATATTTGATTGGTGGGTTAAGTATTCCTTTGAACATCAAAAAACAATACATATTTATTTAAATTAGATGCATTAATTAATAGGCATGAATCCAGATAGAAATCAAAACGTTCAAAGTCTCTTGTAAGCTGCTGAACCAACCTCCGTGATTATTTCATCAACAAACTTAATTCTTTAAGTCTGCTTTCAAACCAGTTTGTTGAACTTTGGAAATTTGATTAAAAGTTAAAACATCTGTTCGTCTTAAAGCATCATAACAAAAAAATCCTTGGATGGAAACTCAGCTGCTGACTGACATCCCTTGCTCTGCATCCTTCTCCTCTCCTAGAACAAGGAGTCCCTAAACCAGAGAGGCTGCTGGGAAATGTAGTCTCAGAGTCTTCTTTTTTGCTACTTCCTGTATCTAATAGTCTTTTTCTACTGGATCCTGAAGCCTTATATGTGCTTCTGTGAAGAGGCCAACTTCGGGGGCGTGCTAGTTTTATAGCCAGGGGTGTTCCAGGTGGGTGGAGTTTACCGTCTCTGCTGGTTTAAATGACCATATGTAACTCCACCTGTCTTGTCCACTGCAGGCTACAAAACAAGAATGCCCAGACTCTGTCTTGTTGCATGGGGGCTGCTGTTGCCTTTGGTACTTTGTATACAATGTAAACCTGTATGTATCTGTGCCCCCTCTCACACTCCTCCTCTTGCACTTGTCGTTTTTTTCTGTCCTCTCTGTCTGTCTGTGTCCTTGTCCTTCTATGTCTGAAATCTGCATAATGTTGTTCGACCTTCCAGATTAATTATTCATGTGCTGTTAATGTCCCCTGTGAGCTTTGTCTTGTCAGAAATCTGCCTGTTCTGTTCTTTTCTTGGGTTCATGTTCCCACCGGCTCATCCCAAAAGTGTTAACGTCCTCTTTGTTCTGCCGTAACCCGGGGAGCAACGATGGTTTTAGCACTGATGTTTTAGTTTGACCCAAGCCCCACTAGACAGCCGAGCTGGTGATGAAGCACGTGAGAGTGCCTCGAGTCAAACCAGCATTTGAGTCATCAGCCTATTTAAAGTCCCTTGGTGTCCCTATTTTCTTGTTTACCAGGTCTTAAAACGGTTGTCTTCATCTCAGAGAGCAGTGTCAAAGTTAAAGGTCACAAGAGAGTTATTCAGAGCAGCTGACATTTAAGAATCAAAAAATATCTGAAGATGTGGATGGACAGGTGCAGTTGTCCTCCCGTCAAACTTTGAGCTATAAAACTATTCAGCGTTTCAGGCTTTACTCGTGCAGTCATGTGAAGATGAGCCGTAGCACCCAGAGCGGAGGCACTGTTTGAACCACACTCTCTCTGCTCCTCCCTGCTGGTGCTTTGAGGTAGAAGCTCTGATCATTGACTCTGGTTATACTTTGATGCGAGTCAGCATGGCGTTGGTTGCTTTGTGACCTTTACAATCCAAACAAGCTGTGACTTTCATGATGTATCCATGTTGTGCTTTTTTCTTGTGTCGCCTGAGCACTGGCAGCTTTGTTGGGAAATGTTTTGAGTGGTCTAAGTGGATGAGGTCGTGTTCTAGTTCTGTCTTTGTTAGATATTTCCAAAGGAGATCCAGCCTGCTAAGCTAATAACAGAAAGGGACTGTGCCTCTGTCATGTCTCTAAATAAAAGTATATACACTAGATTTGATACTATATGCATATATGTTTAATATTGTGGAAGATAGTATGGTACCTATTTTTCTAATACAAAAAAGTGATATTTAAATACCCAGCTAAACTTAGGGATTATATATATTATATTTTACCTGCAGAAAGTCAGCTGCTAGTCCTGCTTATCTTGAGTGGATACATGAGGCAAGAATGTTGATGATGCTTGTTTATTATGATTTATTTCTCTTTATGATGCTTGTGTTGATTTTATCCATGAGTTGAGTAGCTCAAGTCTCGCCTCCTCTCAGAACAAACCACAGACAGAATCAGAAAAACAAAACTGGTTTCCAAAAGCATACAGTACAATAAAATTAATTTTGTGTTTTAAGAAGCACCAAGCATTTGCAACAAAGAACCTTAACCATCACTTTTGAAGTGAGAGGTTGGAGACGTACAGAACCTAAAGTCGAGGGAGCTGTCTCTGAACAGCTTCATCAAATCTAACCCTTGAGACCATCTCAGCACTGAAGACCTTTGCATCATTTGCATTTAAAGCAGTGCAACAACATCGAGCTACGATGGCTCCACACTGCCGATTCTGTTGAGGCAAATAAGAGATTAGAGTGGATATACTAAGACTTTACCTTCCTCTACTCTGTATAAACACAAGAGAGCAGAGTATCAGTGGTTCTTCTCACCCACTCAATCCCAAGTTAACTGCGGGTGCTTTCAGACCTAGAGTTTGCCCGCTTTGGTCCGAATCAGGGACTTATTTTGTTACAAAGTTGCATCGCTGTCTAGAGTTGGTTCGTGTTCTCACAGCAGCATTTACAAGCGGACCGGATCAAATGCCTTGCGTGAGAAAGCTGCTCTTGATTGGTCAGAATTTCCATGTGAGAAAAATCCATAAAAACATTGATGAAGAGTACACTTGCCAGATAAATGCGACACTTTCTAATGTCACAATGGAGGCAACTACGCAGGTTGATTTTAGCGCTGGTCATCGTGTACTATATTGCTTGCATTGTTCATTTTAGGCAAACCATACAGTTTAAAAACGAGGCGCGGCTCCAGCTAGAAAACAATGTTTTGATGCATCGGATACGCCGAACTTGAGTTTGATTGAACCGAACCAAACGGGGCAGATGTGAAAGCACACACCCAACCCATTTTAGGAGCCACTCCACAAAAAAATGTCTCAATCAACCACCCACACCTGACCAAACCCCTCAAACTATAAACTTTATGCATTATAACAGCACAGTTGTCATGACTGAGGACAGACACACTTTGTGGCACTGTGTGTGGGTTTAAGAGAGAAAGGGGAAGAGAAGGTGGAGTATTGCACACAATGTTTCTGTAAGTTCCTGATAACTTAATCGGAACACTGCTTTACCACTTTGTGAAAAATACAAACACACTGTTGTGATATATTGAATCTTAACCCCTGTATCGTGTTACGTATCATATCGCCAGATTCTTGCCAATACACAGCCCTAGTGGACACGCTCCCAGAGCAGTGAATAATATTTATTTTTCACAAACCTAATTTCATATACTTGGTGACTTTTTTTTAATCATTCAAATTTGGCTAGGTGTTTAATGACACATTTTTCTATGGTTGGACAAAGTCAGAGCAGGTTTATTTTTGCTTTACCTGGACTTGAAAAAATAGCCATGCCTCTATCAAAAGTTCACTGGATATGTCATCAGTAGGTGTTTTGGATAAAAGAAAAGGAACGTCCCTGGTTATTGCATAACACTCTGAGACCTGTACTGTTAAACCCAAAGAATAAGGCAAGGACAGGGCAGACAGGAATGTTTCCTGTTAGATAACTAAAGCTGTTCCAGCTTTGGCAATTAATTAGTGTGTTCTCGTAGAACCCAGTGGCTCGTTGAAGCAAATGCTTGGTTTAAATGTAATTGTCCTAAAGTGTGTCTGCTCTGACAGACCTGGATTAGTGTGAGTTCCTGAGGCGAGACTGTAGATACTCATCACTAACACCATCACACCCATTACTAACTCCTCACTCCTCCATCCCTCGCTCTTCTCTGCTTCTTACAGCCTAGTTGTGTAGATGATAATCGCAGACTTCTGGACAACAGTGTGTTGGCTCACCCCGTCTCCCTACTACACACAGATACACACACACAATCACACGCACATGCTACATTAGTCTCCTAACCCTCAGTCACTGCTGCCTGTTTTCAGGTCTTGGAGCGATACGGAGAACTTCTACTCCAACGATCGCAGTATCCTGACGCTGTCGCCCATGGAGGCCACCCACTGCTGACTCCCAGGGCCGCTGACTGTAACAGGCAGAGCTGGGGGAGACTCCACTAGGAGAATATAATCACCCTCCTGCCTCTATTTTATAAACTTACTTCAGTTTAAGCTCAGTACATTCTCAGCTGGATGCAACACAGACTCTTGTGAAACCAAAGGACTCAGCTTGATGCAGCAGGCTGCTTTCTTCTTCATCAATTTGTTTCCCCCAGTGAATCAGTCCTTAGTAGCAACGTTGAGAAGGACATCAGACGGGAGCTGCGACATGGAAGGAAATAAAACATGAAGTGTGGCGCAAGTCAGCGTGGCATGAAGCTGACATCTGTGGAGCTACTCATGAAGGAAGACCCGATCAACCTCTGAGCAGATCCCTTCTGCATATAGTTTCTGAAAGTCCTGCAAAAGTATCGAAAAACATTTAAATTCAGGACATTTTTTAAGGTCAAAAGAAGATATGTCAGCTCACAGGTGCTCCCCTCTGAGATCAGCCCAGGTACATGAACTCTAATGCAGCTATTTATTTTTTCAGCACAGTTGCCAAACTTATTTTTTCATGCAACTGGCATTAAAATGACCTTGTAAGTCTCATATATATATTTGTAGACACAGAATGGAGACTCTGATGGACATCTTGCTAGCTGATGTCAGGCAGCAGTCCTGCTCGAAGCAATGCAGCCTGTAAGGACTGTAACCTAAACAAGCTGGTTTCGACATGCTGATTAAACTCAACACAGGACTGAGGTGGCTTATAGACCCTGATATCCAGGATGTAGCACCAGGACAGAAGCTCCGTGAAGTCAGACTACATTAGGGGGAGGAGGATCTCTGAGATGTCAGCTAGCAGCTAAGGCCGAACATCATGTTGCTTCCATAAACTGCTGCATTAACTTTCTCTTTGAGCCCTTGGCCCCGCTGCACCTTCGTTTCTCATTCAGATGGAAAGGGAAAAAGTTAGACCTGTAGCTTTCAGAGCTTTACTGGTTCTGCTAACGTCTAGACTAGTTTCCTTAGGACCTACAGTACTCCGTAGATACTGTACAAGGAGATTCATCTCTCTCATGGAACCAAAGACCAAAAGATTCAAACTGGAGTTTAAAGAAAAAAGTGTTTATTTTTGTGCCTGATTGTACAGAAGCTTATATCGTTGTTAAGAAGACTATCGTTATTGTTAGTGCTGCTTTCTCGTCAGACTGTTCAGGCCCCTGTCTCCCCGCTGCATTGCTCTGAAGGAGGCCGGATGGGGTCTGTTTGAAAAGCCATACATTTTCAAGAGCTTATATTGTAGATTATCAAAGGTACTGCAGATTGAAGCTGTTTGAGCCTGTTGTTACTTAGTGTCTGGAATCTTGTTCCCCTTGAATGCCTTTTTCTCATTCAGCCGGGTTAGCAAAAGCATCTTAGCATTAAAGACCGCGACGCTTGGGGAGTATTTTGAGGTAACGGGGTCAGTGCTGAAAGCTGACTTAATGAGGTTTTATAGGGAGAATCATCCCTCTCAGTCGCCTGAAAATATTACCCGAATATCAGATCAGATAATGGTACCAATTTTTTTCCCTTTCTTTCCTAAACAAGACAAAATGGCTTTAATGGCGAGACGCTTTTCCAAATCACGGCTGCCGCATGTCGACCCAGACAGCAGAATGTCTCTATCTTTAGAGAGATAGCTATATCAGATGAATATAACTCAGCTTCTACAGAGATGAAAAGAATAGCAGAGCATTTGCACAAGTCACATATCAAAACCACATTTAGTTGTTTCTCAAACCATTACTCGTCTGTCACCATTGAAATCATCTGAATCATGTTTTTGCTGTTATGTTGTTCTGTCCACCTGTTGATGAAGTGTGTGAATCTGTGTGTGTTTGTGTTTCTTGTGTGGCAGCCATGTTGGTTGAAGGAAGTATGGTACGTAGCATTGTTGTAAGCTCTTTGTATGCTCTCAGTGGTCACATGTTGCCCGCAGGTCAAAGGTAAAAAAAAAATTTATGCTTGGTTTGGCGTCTCTTCTTCCAAAAAAAAAGTAGGTGAAATGTAGAAATGTTTCAAGACAACCGTTTTAAACTTGACATCAACAACGACTGGTACATGCCTCAGCTCAGACAGGAAACATACTGAGTCATAGGATTTGTCTGTTGCTATGGTTACTGTTTCAACAAATCAGAGAGTCAGTAATGTTTTCGTCAGTTGTTTATTTTCTGTACGGTACACGTTGTTTGATGCACACCTGGGCCTGTTATATCATCTCTTTTCATACAGGTTCAACTGACAGTGAAAGTGTCTATTTATTATTGTGGTACCTTTTTTTTTTTCTGTGTTTGTTTTGAACTTCTCTGACATATCATTATAAATGTGAGTCCTGTACATGACCTGAACATGGCAACTTCCCACAATGTTTTACTTGATCTCAGACACATAATTGGGAGGATGTAGCTCCGTGTTAGCTGTTTTTGTGTTTGACCTGAAAAGCAACAGTGCAGATGGGAGCTGTCTGACATAAACAGGATGTTTATAATGTTACAGGACATTTCAATGAGCATAAGGACATTTTGAAACTTCCAGTTAGATCACTCTGTCGTGCAACCCAACAGAATCTTATCAGGCCGCATTTACACAGGAAATTACTTTGCTTTTTTTTACTTACTGAACTTATCTGATATTAAAAAGTGTACCTGGATACACCTATGATTCTTGCAATCTGTACCTGGATAAGGAAAATATGTTTCTGCTGTTACTGCACCAATTTTAGACATAAAAGTCCGTTTACTTGTCATGAAGAGCTCAGCCTGTGAAGATAGTTGTATAATGTCCTCTGTGGCTGTGAGAGCACTTTGATGTCTGAGAAATGCGTTCTTGAGACTTCAAAAACATTGGAAGAAATGCTTCTTTATAAACGAGGGCATGTAACGGGCAGGAGTTGATGTTCAGATGCTTTTAAGTTGTATGAGAATTGTAGGATCTAGCCTTATATACTGAAACGAGGGACTTAAAATCAGGATATGTTGGCTTCTGCTGCTGCATATTGACCATTATTTTTGTATGTAAGTACAATACTAAATCCAGGAGTACCATTACCCTTAAATACAATATAAAAAGGTCAAATTTGATGCAGCAGTGGCTGAGGTATCCTGACTTGAATAGAAACTAAAAGTTTGACAACCCTCCTCTCTGGAATCAGTAATAAACTCCAGAGGAAGAGGAGTCCCTACTGTCTAAAAGCAGTAACACCTGCAGTGTAAGTGCAGTTCTGATGCCCCCTTGTGCTCAACATCAGAGACCCAAAGTGTTTAAAATGAAATAATTATAAAATCTATAATCATATTAATAATTACAAACAGATAAACCATAAGTAGTGGTTATGTGAATTAAAAAAATGCTTCTAACAAGACTTAAAAATACAACAAATGCAAAATAAAAAAATAATTGATTGACAATTCTTAATTATTAAATTTCAAAATCTCCATTTTCCAGAGACAGAGATTTAATGATAAAATGTGACATATGATAAAAACACATGCTAATCTATATGATTATTTCACTTTAACACTTTGGGTCTTTATATTTATTTGTGTTATGTAATTGATGGTACATTTTTATCCAGACTGTATATCCAGGTACAGATTTTCAAATTGGGGCCCATGTATCACTAGAGTAATATCTTCAGAACTGTTAGAGCAGAAAACTGATGATTTTGTCTTGTTTTTTTTTTTTTTTTTTTTTTAAATTAGATTTGACTTTAGCGAAAACAGAGACCTGATTCTCCAAAGCATCGTAGCACTGACATCATCTAAGCTTCATTACAACAGAGCAGCAGAGTTATGATACGAGGCCTCTGGGGTATTTCTAGAAGCAGAAGATTACTCAACCACATAATTCAAAAAACTGTCATTTAATATTTTATCATGCCTCGACCACAGATGATGATCATGTCATCCATCAGAAACACTACCCGAGTTTAATTGGATACTTTATTAAGAGCTGTTAAATTCTGTCTGCACACGTGGCTTTTAACTCTCCTGCTTCTGGAAATGTTGGCTGAATATTAACGATATTTAACAACCAAATGAAAATGGAACTTAGTCACTTATGCTCAGTCTTTATACTTACAAGTAGCCTTATCATCCAGAAACCAGATCCTAACTATTATATTGACACATCTACGGGCATGGTTATCATAACTTACACAAAGGATCAAACAAAATCTTTCAGTAATATCAGTAAATTTATTAGAATTTAGAAAGGCTGTCAGTGCATAGATGCTCTTGGAAAACTTAGCCATTGTTTGCAGACCTAAATCAAATGAAGGATTTCTTGATCAAATCAGCTTAAAAGAGGAATCTAAATAATATCAACAGATCAATTTTCTGTGACTCAGCATCAGCCTGTACGAGATGAAACTGCAGATCAATGCTGAATGGTTTGTTGAAATCATTTGTTCTCTCCTCATCAGTAAATTATGCTGCACCAGACCAATAATAAACCACCATCATCACTCCTCTGTTGACTGATATCTGTTGCTGTCTGTATGTCCTCCCTCCTCTTCCTGTCTGTAAATCTGTCTTATAGCTGATGTTTATGAAGATGCGGTTCTATTTACAAAATAAATACATTTTTAAGAAACAAGTCTTTTGAGTGTGACCTTCTTTATTTAAATGGTTTTAGAAAAACATATAGAATATTATATCTTAGATTGTTTTTGAAAAAGTCATGCAGTGTAGTATACCATTAACAATATGAAAATGTCATAAAAAAAATTAGTGTAGTGTGTCGTAAAATTTAAGTAAAAAACTTTTTTTTTTTTTTCAAAATGTGCCATTGAACATTGTTGTAAAGAGTCATAGTATAGTATGTCATAAAAAAAGTTTAAAAAGTCATGCTATGGTATGCTATAAAATGTTATGAAATGAAATCATAGTATAGTGTGTCATCAAAAAGTGATTAAGAAAAGTCATAGTACAGTATGTCAAACTGGTGAAACTGAGTCATTGTATAGTATGTCATCAAAAAATTAAAAAAGGTCATAGTGTAGTATGTCATTTAAAAGTTATTAAATGAAAGTCGAAGTATGACATAAAAAAGTGATGAAAAAGTCATAGTATAGTATGACATAAAAAGTGATGAAAAAGTCATAGTATAGTATGACCTAAGTATGACATAAAAAAGTGATGAAACCGTCATAGTATAGTATGACATAAAAAGTGATGAAAAAGTCATACTATAGTATGGCATAAGTATGACATAAAAAGTGATGAAAAAGCCATAGTATAGTATGACATAAAAAAGTGATGAAAAAGTCATAGTATAGCATGGCATAAAAAGTGATGAAAAAGTCATAGTATAGTATGACATAAAAAGTGATGAAAACGTCATAGTATAGTATGACATAAGTATGACATAAAAAAGTGATGAAAAAGTCATAGTATGACAAGTATGACATGAAAAAGTGATGAAAAAGTCATAGTATAGTATGACATAAAAAAGTGATGAAAAAGTCATAGTATAGTATGACATAAGTATGACAAAAAAGTGATGAAAAAGTCATAGTATACTATGACATAAGTATGACATAAAAAGTGATGAAAAAGTCATAGTATAGTATGACATAAAAAGTGATGAAAAAGTCATACTATAGTATGGCATAAAAAAGTGATGAAAAAGTCATAGTATAGTATGACATAAGTATGACATAAAAAAGTGATGAAAAAGTCATAGTATAGTATGACATAAGTATGACATAAAAAAGTGATGAAAAAGTCATAGTATAGTATGACATAAGTATGACATAAAAAAGTGATGAAAACGTCATAGTATAGTATGACATAAAAAGTGATGAAAAAGCCATAGTATAGTATGACATAAAAAGTGATGAAAAAGTCATAGTATAGTATGACATAAAAAGTGATGGAAAAGTCATAGTATAGTATGACATAAGTATGACATAAAAAAGTGATGAAAAAGTCATAGTATAGTATGACAAAAAAAGTGATGAAAAAGCCATAGTATAGTATGACATAAGTATGACATAAAAAAGTGATGAAAAAGCCATAGTATAGTATGACATAAGTATGACATAAAAAAGTGATGAAAACGTCATAGTATAGTATGACATAAAAAGTGATGAAAAAGCCATAGTATAGTATGACATAAAAAGTGATGGAAAAGCCATAGTATAGTATGACATAAGTATGACATAAAAAAGTGATGAAAAAGCCATAGTATAGTATGACATAAGTATGACATAAAAAAGTGATGAAAACGTCATAGTATAGTATGACATAAAAAAGTGATGAAAAAGCCATAGTATAGTATGACATAAGTATGACATAAAAAAGTGATGAAAACGTCATAGTATAGTATGACATAAAAAGTGATGAAAAAGCCATAGTATAGTATGACATAAAAAGTGATGAAAAAGTCATAGTATAGTATGACATAAAAAGTGATGAAAAAGTCATAGTATAGTATGACATAAAAAGTGATGGAAAAGTCATAGTATAGTATGACATAAGTATGACATAAAAAAGTGATGAAAAAGTCATAGTATAGTATGACATAAAAAGTGATGGAAAAGCCATAGTATAGTATGACATAAGTATGACATAAAAAAGTGATGAAAAAGCCATAGTATAGTATGACATAAGTATGACATAAAAAAGTGATGAAAACGTCATAGTATAGTATGACATAAAAAGTGATGAAAAAGCCATAGTATAGTATGACATAAAAAGTGATGGAAAAGTCATAGTATAGTATGACATAAAAAGTGATGAAAAAGTCATAGTATAGTATGACATAAAAAGTGATGGAAAAGTCATAGTATAGTATGACATAAGTATGACATAAAAAAGTGATGAAAAAGTCATAGTATAGTATGACATAAAAAGTGATGGAAAAGCCATAGTATAGTATGACATTTAAAAAAGTGTGATGAAAAAAGTAATCTCATAGTATGTCAAAAATTTGATTTTATAAAGTCATGTTATGGTTGGCCATGAAGAAGTGATTAAAACAAGTCATAGTGTAGTATGTTAACAAAGTCATAGTACATAGTACAGCATGTCATAAAAAAATATTTACAAACCTCATAGTTAAATATATAACAGTAAAAGCCTTATTGGGTTAATTTCAGTATGCATTATTTTTACTCGTATTGGAATATTTTGAAATGTTTTTTCTCTCCCTCCTGTACGTGGCACAGCATGGCTCTGTACAGTCATTCATGCTGATTGATTAGGCCTTCTCCAAATTAAGGCTGGGTGGAGCCCAGTAAATCTCAATACATGACAAAGGCATTAGGCGGCTGAGGGAGATGTTCATGAATCATTTTTTTCCTTCTTAATACAAGTGTAACCCACCGTCACTTTCCAGTACATTAAAAAAATGACATGGCACTGTGCGTACTTCACAAACATTTTTATTACAGTATCTGACCAGTCCAAGATCTAATAATAAATCATCTGTCACATCTACAAAATGAAACACAGGTGTCTATTAATTTTATGCTACAAGGCCTCATAACACACCAGTTAGTAAGAAGAGAGTGATCAGCAGACACAGGTCAAGTTCACTTGGACTGATGGAGGAATTACACAGAATCAAACCATCTGTCCGTTTAAAGCCCTCTGTGACCGACATTTCATCCTTTACGGGTTATTTTCAAATCAGAGCCCAATCCGCTCACACACTTTGGGAATCATTTGATAGTTCTGGAGTGTTTTCTTCATCCCAATTCAAAAAGGCCTTTTTGTTTAGTGCCATGTTATAGTCTCCTCTGCAACAACAGAGGCTTCCTGCAGACCTCTGTTTTATTTATGAGAGAAAACTTTCAAAGGGAAATGATGAAGAGTTGGAGTCAGTCTGGAAGGACAGAACATGTGGATGTTGAAAGTAAACCCAAGTACATTTTTTTTCCCGCTCACATAATGAGTTTACATCCAGCCTCTTTTCTCTTAATCACTGTCAAGTAAAAACCAAGTAGCTTCAAATCATCAGATCTTAATGACTCAGAAAAACAGCTGTGCTTTAAGCTCTGTTACTATGCATTTTAAATACTGGCAGGTTCAATTATAATTACAAGACAGTTTTTTTTTAATTATAAAGAAGCATGTGACAGAAAAATTCAAATGAAATTACCTGGTTCTTATAATAACTTAATGGCATTTTCCCCTACACACACCAGTTTCAAAGGATCACAAGCTGATGGGATTCACTCAGTAAATATTTTACAGTCATGTAAATGTGAAGTTTTCCCCCTCAGAAATCAGTAACTATTCCTGTAGTTCAATGAGGCATAATTCTGCAAGTAACTTGACTGATTTTACACTTGCCATCCAACCTACTTAATATTTTCTGCATCGGATTTGCTGACAAACTGTTCAGATTTTGTTGCTGTGTAAAGATTAGGAAGTTTCCAATGAGTGCAAAGAGAGGACACTCAACTGTCAACCCTTTTTCAGTGTGGAAGTGCAATAAAATTTACAACAAAAGATTACCCAATCCATTCTTAAACTAACACTGCACCATTGACAAAAACAGAGACTTGAAAAAAACTTACAAACACAAGAAAAAAAAAGCAGGAACAAACAAAAGAGTACAAACCACATGAAGATAATTCAGATATGTAAAAGGCAGCAGTACATGAGAGAATATTATGAGGTTTACCCATAATCACACGAGTCAAACCCAGGAACATTTCAGGTCAATGTTACTGTTTCTGACCCTCCTATACGCATGTTGGGTCCCCAGGGGTCAAAGTATTTGTCTAATCCATTCCAGACTGAACCAGACTCACGTGATTTGGGTCCTGACTCACATTTTCAGACATATTAATCAAGTGATGGACACCAGGCCCGTTCAGATTGACTCACTTTCCCTCCGGTTGTCACAGTAGCTCCTTCCTGGCTCTCTCCTACCTGTCAGTGTGTATTCGTGGCTGTGGTTGTGTGTTTGAGTCTGTTTACTGGCTGCTCCCCTCCCCCTCCTCCTCCGCCTCCTCTTCCAGTTCAACCAGAGGAGCGTGGCGATTGGCCTGAGAGCCCTCGCTGAAGAAAACCCTCTTGATCACACCTGCCTTTGGTGCCCGGATCGTGTGCTGCAGAGATGGACACAAAAAACTTTATTACAAACACAGCAGAGAGTGTGTACCTGTGAGTAAAAGAAAAGAGGTGTGAGTCAGAGCTGGCAGGAGGCCGTCACCTCCATCTTCATGGCGATCATGACCATCAGCGGGTCTCCGACAGCTACTGTGTCTCCAGCCTTCACCATCACCTGAACACAATACAACAGATTGTTTATATTTGTATGCACAGAGGACGATTTGTCTTCAGTCATCTCAACATTAAAGATCAGACACATGATGTCGCTCACGGATAACAAGGAGGTAATTTACGTCTGCATTATTCCTTGCTCATGATCCTGTAATTCTCTTTCTAAATTAATGATTCAGTCGCCTTTAAATTGTTTTCAGTTATTGAAAATATGGCAGTCGGCCTGCTCTCATCACCTCTGCTTCAGTCTCATTACAGTGGCTGCCAGTGCATTTTAGGTGAACAATAACACACTCAGAGGCGTCCCTATAAATAAATATAACAGACAGGGTGGAGACAGAGGATTGCACTTCTTTC